TATTTCTATTTGCTTGTCATCAAACTGTGAGCAGCAGTGCACAGTGGGGTCGGCCAATGTTAAGTCTAAGAACAGTATCCACCTGGAACTTTGATCTGAAATGAGGCACAAAATTTTGTTCCTATCACCCAATGAGAAGGAATACTCCTCTGGTTCCCTCCATGTCTCATAGATCCCAGACCTAAGTCTGGCCTCCAGCGCCTCTGTTTTCTAAACCCCTTTTGCCCTCACCTGCTGAGAATGTAGCTCCTGGGAGAGCTGGTTCTCAGGCCCTTTGCTGGCCCTCAGCTCGGCAGCAGGAACTGTCTCCAGGCAGCCTGGGCCGTGAGCCCCCTCGCTGCTGAGCCCTTGAAGGCTGGTTTGCAAGCCAGGAAAAGAGAAGTGAACTAATTGTTTAGCAAAGGAAGCCGACTTGGGGAGCTGGGGGAGCCTGTCTGCGAGGTTTTGTATGCCTCCTTGGTTAGCCTCCAAAGACGGCAACGTGCTTTTTGTAACGTGCTTCTGGTTTGGGGAGATAATCGCTGGAGAAGGAGTTTTTATTGGCAAATCATGGGAATTCCTTAAGATCTGAGGGGAAAGGACTGTCGGCCCCGAGGAATTGTATCTTGCAGGGATGGTTTGGTTGCTGGAGGGCAATAGGGAGAGCTCTGGACTGGAAGCCTGCAGACTTAGCTGTTCTTTTTCCAGAGCCCTAGAGTCAATCATAATGTAGAAAACCCACATGTGAGGTCAGTGCTTTCCATCTGGGGGATTTTCTTCTCAAGCTGTATTTTTTCAGTTGGGCTTTCATCAGAAGCTTGATAGCAAAATACTACAGGAAGATAGCATAGTACCTGTTCTGGTCGCTTCTCTTCACTCCACCTTGTGCCCCTGTGTGTGTGTCCATGCACCTTTCTCAAGATGGGCTCCTAATGTGGGTATTGCTTACTCTGAAGAAAGGGGGTTTCCTCTTCCATTGGTTGAAAATATGGATCAGTTTCTCAACTTGCCTGGGGAGGGTCCCTGTACCCAGCTCCTCACAGAGGTGTTCTATATGCCTGTCATCTTCCTGTAGTCCCACACGTGAGGTCAGTGTGTTTTCCATCTTGGGGATTTTCTTCTCAAGCTGTATTTTTTCAGTTGGGCTTTCATCAGAAGCTTGATAACAAAATACTGCAGGAAGATAGCTTAGTACCTGCTCTTCTTCTGCTCCAGATTATCTGAGTGTTAACCTTCTAGTAAGTCAAATAATAATATCTCATCTCGTTTGGTTATTTGCTGTGTGCCTGCAACTGTTCCAGACTCATGTGAATTATCTTATTTCATTCCTCTGTTAGCAGGCAGACTGAGGGGCACCCCAGTATCCCCAAACCTTGCAAACTCTGCTTGCAATAGGTTCAGCTGTCTGTCTCAGAAAGACAAAACAAACTCCTATTGTATAAGACTTTCAATAGAAAAGAACTTTGATAGAACTAATAGGTAATATAGAGAAGAAAGGATAATAGTTTCCAATATAACACCCAAACTTACCCATCCCCTTGTGGGTAAATGCCCAGCCAAACAGGGACTACTGTGATCTGAAAGCTTGCCACAAGTCTAAGGTACCTCTGGCAGGGAATCTTAGGAAGGGGCCAGGGAAGCCTGGAAGGAAAGGAGCAAAATCATAGTACAAGTCAGGATAAAGGCTGCCATTGTCTCTTTCCATGTCCCCCAAGATCCTGATACAAATCCAAGGCTGAGAAGCAAACATGGCTGCTTCTTCATGTCTCTCTGTTCCATATGCCTCCTCCAGGTCTTTTCTCCCCAAGTCTTTTTTAGCTTCTCCTTGTCACTCAGCAACACCCTTCAAGAGGTGCATCAGGAACATGGGGCTCCCTTGTTTAGATCACACTGTTCCACTTCCAGCAGCCCTGATCGGTAGGTGCTGCTATGATTGTGTAATTGATGGGGAAAGAGACTGAAGAGACAAACATCACATTCAAATATAGAGTCAGACCTGGACCCAGAAACTGATTCAGGAGCTCACACTCTTCGCTTCTCTGTTGAACTGTCTTCATCGGGAAGTTACAGAACTGAAGAACAGACTGTTCTCCAAGACATGCTTTTAACTAAGTGCTACTGTACTCCTTACTTGAGTATGAAAAGCTCTAAATTCTGACTAGCCCATATCATTCTGACTTTCCTTTTATCCTTGTGCTTTGACTCCAGTGTGGACTCCATTTTATAGTTGGAGAAAGAAAGGACCGAGGGAAGTAAATTGCCCTTGGTTACACAGTCAGCAATGCCACTGAGATTTGAACTCGGCCTCCTGCTTCCTAGACCAGAGCTTTGTGCCACTAACTCTTTACAGGAAACTCACAGAAGACTCATGAGGCTACCTGGGTTTGAGTTTCTGCAGCCATCAGATAAGGGGAAATGCTCCTCAGGATTGTTGATTATAGCAGATCTGTGTGCCTGGGGAGGCTCACTAGGATTGGCTGGGGGGAAGAAGGTAGGAGATCCCAGCACTATTTATATGGAGTGCAAAGTGGAGGGTGGTCTTCCAGTTTAACGGGGGCATCCAGTGCCAGCTACTTCCCAACAGCATCAGTATCCCTGTTTCTCCTCCGGAGAGAGTGATAGAATTCATTTGCAAGGCCTTCTGCCTCTTGCAAGCCTCTTGCATGGTCTCTTGACCTCTCCCTTGGAGTGGATGTCACCCCCCTGTCATTTTCTCCAGGCCCAGGAGGATGTGGCTGTCTGCCCTGATTAGCTGTGACTGTACTTATTAGCGAATCAGGGCGTGAAGTGTTGGTGATTAACAGGAGCCACAGGAATCTCCCCATTATCTTCACAGGCAGCTTCTTGAAATCATCTTGCCTGTAATCACAGCTCAATTGGTTTGGGTTGGAGAAATCATTTCCTCCTGTAATGCTGTCACCATCAGATTAGGGGCCACAGCCGAGAAGTTTAACCGTCTTTTTAGAGCCTGCTATGGCTTTTGAATGATGATGACATCATGTGCTAAAGAATAAGTCACTTGCCTGATTAAGCTTAAGACCTAAAGGAGGGGTAGAGACTAAATTTAAATGGTAGGTCCTTAATTTAAAGAGTCTGTTTTTTTTTTTTTTAATCTTCAATGTTGGATGACATGGGGTTGGGGAATCAAAATAAAGAAATCATAGGTCTCAGAACTCACCTAGTCCAGACCTCTCTGGTTATGGTAAGGAAATTAGTATCTGGAAGGGTGAGTTAATCTGCACAGGGTCACCTGACCGGTTACTTTGGCACTCAGCTTACAATTTAGTCTTTCCTCTGTGGTCCTCTGTCCACTATGGTCCGTGGACCAGCAGAGGAGCTGGGAAATCCCAGCAACCTGTTGAAATTTTTATGTTCTACCATCTCCTGTCAGTGTTCAAAGTCATACTCACTTTGAAACAGAACTTTCCCCCATAGTAAGTAATAGTCTAGTGTCTAAGGCAATGCTTGGATTAGATCTGAGCATCAAAGCCACTCAAAAACCTGGTGGAAGAAACCTAACCCTCTGCCATTTCTGAACTTTAGTGCCTTGATCTTCCTCTGTGTGGAAGCCTAAATGTATATTTTTTTTGCTTCATCATTTTCAAATGATAAATGTGAGCTTAAGTCTTTTACTAAGATTCAAAAAAGCACATTAAAGAAACATGACCTCCAGTTCTATTTTTGTTGAGACAATGTGGAGGTGAAGATCAAGATAAAGGCACTTTATTGCTGTAATAAATGAGAGAGTAATGAACTTGTGAACTGCCCTGAGGCTGACTTATCAGACATCAGTTCTCTGGAATTCTCTGGCATTTGGTTGACAGATCTCAAGTACTCAGAAGACGGAGTTGGAAATGCGGAGGGAGCAGAGTAGAGAAGATTGCTGACTGACTAACAAACCATACTTCCTAGAGGTGTACCCTACTCCCCTCTCTCTGCTTGCTGTCACCATTCCCATCTTCATATACACATTCATTTGGGACCTACACATGTCACTTTGCTTACTTTTCTGATGTCACCTCTAATCATCTCCATAGCTGTGAGGCACACCCACTTTTTATCTCAAACAATGAAATTTGGATTAGTGTCCAAGGTTACTTATTAACCAGCTGCAGAATGAGACTATTGATTTTCTCCTTTACATGTTTATAGCACTCTAAAGAGTGCTTATAGGACCAACCAGCACCACTTACAATGAGATTAGTAAATAAAATCACTGTGGACTTTAATTTTTCTGTGGACTGGTAAAGTGCAAGAATCAGTCTTTTGATGGATGTCTTCCAACATCCCCACCACAGGCCTTCTCTGCCTCGGAGTAGGCAGCCACTCTCACTGAGAACATTGTGTAATTTTCAGGATTGTTGCTGCCTTTCATCAAGTATTGACACCTGCTAGGTAGAAAGTGGTGCCCACATTAGGCAAACTAAACAGAGTAGCTGTGCATTGCTTCTTGACTTAAAGACTTTGCTGGATCGAGGGATAACCTGATTTAAAGGGGTTGGGGAGGAACTTCCTTTCCAGCTCTGTTTTCACAAAATTGCCTGTAATTGGCATTCCCTTGAGCTTTAGTGCCCTGCCCTGCACCCTCAAGCTGAGAGCCCCTGTGAGGTTAGATATTCCTTCCCAGTGTCGAAAACATCAAAGCAACCCTCTCCAGCCTAATCTTGACAACTAAAAGCCCACAAATGCTTTGTGGTTGCTAATAGAAACTGGCTTTTGGACAGGAAGATTTGATCCATGTGGCCAAGTACTTTCAGGGGCTTATGTAAAACTAAGCTGGATTTGTACAGAAATAATGCAGTATAATGGAGCTCTTGTAAAAAAAAAAAAAAATTAGTACATTCCAGAGAATAGCCAATCCTGGAGCTGGAAAAGGCTGCCTTCCCAACATTCCACTCCTTTGCTCAGCTTTGTGCCTGGCTACCTTCCGATCTTTAACACTGCACGTTCATTTCTAGAGGCCGGTTTGCGGTCATGAGATGTGAGCAGCTGCTTCCCTGGGACCTGTGGGACCTGCAAAGGGGCTCTTTGTAAAAAGCTTCTCTTTGTCAGTTCTCTCTCTGGGTTTAACCTTATGAACGATTAAATCCCCGCATGTGAAATTTCTGCATTCTGGGGTGTTTTCTTGCTTAGCACCCAGAGGTCCAGTCACCAAATGGGGTGTGGCTGGCAGGCAGGGACCAGCATGGCTATGCCCTGTGTGGATGGCACTCAGTGGGTGGGTGGGTGAGCCCCTGCCAGGGGAAACCTGGTCCCTTTGCTGCCTTTGAGTCACTTTGTAATTTTACCCGTAATGAGGTCCTTCCATAGGCCTTTCAAAAGCAGACATTTCACTGGTAAAGGAGGAATTCCTTGAAGGTCAAATGGCACCTGAATTCAGTAGTCATTTATGAGTTGAGTTACAGGAGTTGTCTGAATCCACCCTAACTACTCAGCGACATTTCTTTTATGTGCAGGTACTTGTTCTGTAGAGCAGATAGCAGTGTGGTTTGTTATATATCCAAGTGCACAGGAGACTCCATAACATGTGCAACTGTGTCCTTTCACTGTGAATAGAAGTACAGCCTTCACAATAAGATGAGTGAGGGATAAATAGAAATGAAACCACTTACCATGAAGATGTAAATTCATATTCAATAATTGTTCAGACCAAGAGTTTTCTTCTGTTGCCATGGGGAGGAGAGATGGTGGTTTAACCCTTTTGGATTAGCATAGGCATATTATTAACTTTGTTTCTATTACTGGCAAAATAGGCCCAGTCTCTGAACTATGACTAGTTCTCTGCCTTCAATGCCTTTTGATGCAGTGAGCCCTACGCCAAGAATAAAATATTTCACGAGCACTTCCTGTGTGCCCTGCTCCGTGGTGCACTACATGTTAGCTGTGTATTTACCCTTTTGGGTGGCAGAAGAGAGACTATTGATCTCCCTGATTCCCTTTTTCAGTTGCAAGTAAAGGTCATGCAGGACGAGTGTGATCAAGGGAAGTTAGGAAGGAAAAGGGAGGCTGAGGATGTGGCATGTCCTTTCCAATATGGGAGAGGTAGTACCATGAACCTGGGTCTGCATTTTCTACCTTTTTCAGGGGCCTCTCTAGAGGCGAGGTCAATGGCTTATTTTAGTAAAAGTACCACAATGCAAAAAATAAAATACGGAAAGTGTAAACAGAAAGTATTACAACCAGCCCTCCGCCCTAGAGCCATTTGGGGCTTGTAGATAGTTGGTTGAGGTTGCTGGGGGTGTTCTGCATGTCTGAACTTGTTCAAGTATGAGAAAGGGCCCGAGCTGCAATTGGAAGAGGTGAAGCTTAGACACAGAAGGCCAAGGCTCTGACCACCACTAGGTGATGGGAGACCTCACAGAAGTTGCCCTGCTTCTCGTAAGGCTCCCATCACCCAGAGAGGTCAGGATGCTCTAGTTGAGAGGTCAGTCAAGGACATCCCAGAGTTAACCTCATGGGTGCAGAGAGGTTTGAGCTGTAGCAGTGACGCCCAGAAAGTGGTTGGAGTTGAAGACTATGAGGAGGAGTGGACTAGCCTGAGATCTGAAATGGGCAAGTGGCTGACAGCTGGCCAAGGTACCTTTTGATCTTGACATTGATGCTGTAGCCTAAAGTAAAAGAAGGCTCATAGAAGAAACACCAGGTCTGAGAGAAAAAAGCAAGGGTAGCAATTTGGGGAGTTCTCTGTAACAGAAAGTGGACTAGAGCAGTAGTTCCTTACAGGGGTTCCCAGGCCCCTTGGGTTTCATGAAGTCAGTAATGGGGAACTATGAATCAATTTCGGAATTATAAAAAGCACAGATCATGCGTTTACCCTCAGCAAGGCCATGTAAGCTTTATCAAAACACTGGAATCTGCCCTTGTCTGTGATGACATCAGATTGCTGATGAGGATACCAGCCATCCTGTGCTGGTGAGAAGCTCTGCTGGAGACTGATGTTACTTTGGGGATTCTGAATGTGATTGGTGGACTGTATGGTGTCCCTGGGTGGTCACAAAGAACCTAAAGTTAGATCACCAAGAATGTGATTAATCTTAGACTCAGGTATAATATGACAGCCCCAGATAGACAGACTGCAGTCTCTGGTGACCCCTAGGGTAAAAGTATGCTGAGTTTTCTCAGCCTAAGCTCTTAAACTCTATGGAGCTCACATTTAATTCATTCCTCATCTTTGAAGAAGTGAAAACTGACTGGATATCAAATCATGATCAGTTATCCACTTTGGAAGGCATGCCCTGAACACCTGAACAACCTGCATGGTCCCTTAAGACACACAGGAAAGCTCCTTGGCCCCCTCCCCCGCTCAGACTTGAGGAGCTACATCCTGAGAACAAGGGTCAGGCTCTATTCTTGGGCTGTTAAAGGAAGAAGTTAAATAGCAAAACAAAGGAAAGGAAGTAGCCAAAATACAGACCCACGTGAGTTTTTACAGCAAGCCTGGGAGAAACTAGATTAAGGCAGTTGCTGCTGTGTTCCAGGAGAGGTGGACTTGGGGCTCCTGTTGTTCAGCCCATGGTTTCTCGCCCAGTATCATCACAGCCTTTGGGGCTGGAGCTCCAGGGAAGGAGGGTGCTGAGTTGCTCTGACATGACAAACCAATGGAATAGTCGATGATGGTTAGCAAATGATCTGAAGCAAATCCACCAATTTGTAAAACGTGGGAGGAGGAACTGGGATATTTGTTCCATCCTTTTAGTTGGCTGATTGTTTCAGCACTGTGGTGACAGTTTTTATTTTCTGGAGTATTTCTGCAAAGGAAAATGTCCTTACTTCTCTGGCTAACTTAGGTTCTTCTGTCTGCCTCTTTCTATCACTGGCATCGTGGCTATCTGTCCATGTGCTCCTGAGCCAGCCTCTCCTGCCCCTGCTCCTCTAGGAGTCCTTGTAGGGCTTCTCTCCACCCTTCACTGGCCCTCTTCTTTCCTCCTCCCCAGAGCCAAGCGATGCGAATCGTCCGCACAGTGGGTCAGGCCTTTGAGGTCTGCCACAAGCTGAGCCTGCAGCACACCCAGCAGAATGCAGATGGCCAGGAGGATGGGGACAGTGAGCGGCACAGCAGCAGCTCAGGAGACCCAGGTAGGTGGCCGCTGTGGATGCGGGGGGCGGGACAGGGGACAGGCTATGCTGTGACAGCTGATGGGTCACCCCACCATGCAATCAGTTCACTTAAGCAACACTTTGTTTTTCTGTTTCTCTCTAAATTTCAAATTTTCTTTAAGGAGTATGTGTTACATTGATAATAAAAAATTAAAGAGGTTGAAACAGTCAAAGAAGGAAGCATTTAAACTCTGTATCAGTAAATACATGTTAAAGGTAGAGCTCCTTAGGCCCTCAAGTCTGATCCTGAAGACAATTTCAGTACAAAAGCACCATTATAAAACTAATTTGAAACAATATGAATTTACAATTGCCTAAGTGTTTTTCTATTCTAAATTTTATAGTTATGTAAACCCTCAACATGGACGTTATTCTAATATCTCCAATTTTCAAGTCTTGTTAAAAGTCAGAAACATGACAAAGGTGTCTTTTGTCATTTCTACTATTTAACCTAAATGTGTGTTTGTGGGGGGACATATGAGGATTAGAAAAGAGTAGATAAAAGTTAATATTCTTTATATTAATTTTTATGTGAAAAACCCATGAAAATATTCCAAAAGCTATTACAGGTAATAAGATAGTCCAGTTAAAGTGGTGGGCTCGAATATTACATGTGGATTACTATGGTTATCTATTTCAGTGTCAACCACTTGGAAGTCATAGTAGAAGAAATCCATTAAAATATCAATTTAAAAAGAGATAAATTTATGAATAATATTAATAAATATGTTTTATATAAAGAAAATCTAAAGTAGGAAGTTCTCGGCTGGGAAACATCAGCATCATAAAAATGTTAATTCTCAACTATTTAATCTGTACATTTTGTATAACAACACAAATTTCTAACAATCAAGGAGCACCTTGTTGAGCTATAGTATTCAAATTTATGGACTATAGCTAAAGCAAGTCTCAGAGAAAAATCCAAAAGTTTAATGAATAAATGACCAATCATGAAATCTAATAGCATCCAACTCAAGAAGTTAGAAAACAACAAAATAAATCCCATCCTGCAAAACAAAACTCAGTAGTGTGGAGTGGTTGAATGGAGACTTGGTGTCTAGTATCCCAGCTGCCCCATGGAATCACTGGCTGCATTATTTGGGGGCCACTTCTATAACCTCTCTGTGTTTTGGTTTCCTCTTCTGGAAAAAAAAAAAAAAAGAAAAGGTAATAGTAGCATCTACCTTGCAGACTTATGTGATGACTAGAAAAGGGTATACTTTCTGACTGTGTCCTGTCTTGCACACATAGTAAACATCAAATGTAAGCTAGCTGCTACTATTTTAAAATAAATATGGACAAGTTAAAAATCAAGAATAAAAAATTTCTGAAAAGGATGAGTGATGATATAGAAAAATATTTCAAAGCTGATCCATGAATACGTGCCTTTGTGAACCAGAATAGAAAGCTCAGAGATAGACCAGATACACATGTCAATATAGGGTATGATAAAGGCAGTAGCCCCATGAGAAAAATGTAGAAGTCTTTATATTTCAAAATTGATATGCCTTTTGACCCCCAAATTACTCTCGAATTCCTAATCAAGAGTTTTATCATAAGGGTCAACCTATACATGTGTGAAATGATGCAGATGTAAAGTTATACAAGCAAAAATGTGTTGCTAAAGCAAAAAATTGGAAACAGCAAGATAAGATTTTAAAATGAACTGTGGTATCTAATGGAAAAATGACTGCACAATTCTTCAAAAAGAATGAGTTGGCTCTCTGTGAACTGATATAAAGCCATCTCCAAGGTATTTTGTTGAGTTGTTTTAAAATCTGTGGATGAGGCTTGCTACCAATTATCTATTACAAATATATATGTGTAAATGCACGTGTGTCTATGTAGGTGGACACACATGTGCAAACACACACGTGTGCTCCTGCATAGCGTATCTCCAGGATGAGACACAGGACACCAGTTACTGGTTCACTCTGGGGAAAGGAACTGGGTGTCTGATGTGGGAAGATTTGCTCTCCGCTGTCGCAGACCTATAGCTGACCCTGGCACCCCGGGCATAGCAAGCAGCCTATCTGCTCACCTCTGAGTGGGATGCAGGATTTGCCTTGAGAACTGGTAGCTGGAGAGGATGGGCCCCCTTCTGTCATTCACTGCCCTGGCAACATGAAGGTCATAGCTATCTCTCAAAGGCTTTCAAACTCGCAGCCCCACTGGCTGCCAGTGTACACAGATACTAAAAGCTCTAGCTGAAGAGTAAAGGGCATGATCTCGATGAAACCACTTATGCCTGGAGTGGAAGGAAGAGGGCCCAGAGGCTGAGTGTTTATAGACCTTGCGATTATCACAGAACTCCCATCTGAGGAGCTTGCTCGAGTCTCCAGACACCTAATTAGAACCTGCTGCTCAGCTGCATGCCCCAGGAGGTGAGGATGGCAGTGGTTTGGCCTGTGAGAGAAGAGCTGCCAGGAGCGTGTTACAGTGTTTCCTGCAGTCTACTCTGAGGGGGTGGGGGTGAGAGGTGGGGTGCCTTATTTATCCCCCCAACGGGAGCTACACTGTGCATCCTCCAGCCCAGCGGGGGTCAGCTGTGTAGCATGGGCTGATGTGATTTCCAGTGATGCTGTGGACAACCTCATTTTGTGTGGCCTCTCTTTGGACATCAGCGAGGACCTCCCCCTTTCAGTCTCTTCCTCCCCTCACACCCCAAGCTCCTTCCCACCCGAGTGCACCCTGTAACTTACAGCCTTGTCCTCATGTCCCTCTGCTCAGGGTCCGTGCGTATCCCAGACAGACACCCTCAGCATCCCATCTCCTGAGAAGCCTGGCAACTAGCTCCCACTGCCCCATCGTCTTCCCTTCCAGAAACTATGATCACTATTCCCTAGGTCCGTGTGTTCTCTTCCCACCTGGCCCTTGGCTCTTCACTCCATGCCTACTTCGCTCCACTGTTTACCAGACGTATATTGTGCTCTGTCTTTGGAATGTGGGGAATGCACGCTTGTATACAACACATACAGACACACATGCCTGTGTCCTGGGGATGCCCTCATCTCAGTCACCATCAGCAGACTGTATTCATGCTTACCCTGTGCCAGATTGGATATGAGATAAGGGATCTCAGCAGGAAGTATTGATCCCCCTTGATGAGGAATGATGACCTTAGAGTACGGAGATCAGGAGAATGGAATGATTAAACCTTGGAGACTGGCCGGCTGAACCAGGATAAGGATGGTGAGTGATGATGGCCTCGGCGCAGACAGAGACCTGCCGGCCTTGCTCTTGCAGCTGTGACAAATGCTCAGCATTGCTGTCATGGACCCAGCAGCCATGTGCCCCTCTCCTTTTGATGACCCATGGTGGTCATTTCCTCAGTTCACAGTAGTAGGTGTGAGACCGCAGCCCCATGGCATGGTCTCTAACCACTTCCTCTAAAGACAGTCTAATTGATGTTTTTTTGCTACAGACATCTGGGTCCATTTTAGGAAAACCCATCAGACCCAGTAGTTTTTTCAAAGTTTGATGTCAATAAAGCCCCAAGTGTGTCTCTTCAAGGAGGTCAAACATGGGCTGTTGTGCTCGCTGTGAGTCATCCTAGCAGTCATCCTCTCCTTGTGTAAATGAGGATATGGCCTGTGGAGTCATGTAAATTGTACCAGGCAGGGAGATATACACATATCCACACACCTATATATGCACAGGCATATGCACATAACACGTGTGTGCATACACATTCACACAGAACAACACAGGTAGACGCATGTGTGTGCATGTGCACACGTACTTGTGCACATACCGTCCATGCATGCATACACATGTATATACACACATACATATACTCATAAGTATTACACTTACAAAATATCAATTTTAAGAAATTGGCTCTCGTGATCCTGGAGGCTGGCAAGTCCAAAATCTATTGGGGGTATGGTGGGGACCACCGCCCTGGTGTCCTAGGGGTTAAGTCACAGCGCTCTCACTACTGCGGCCTGAGTTCGATCCTCGGCCAGGGAGATGACCCACATGGCGCAGCAGACCTCTCCTGTCTCGCCGGCTGCTCCCCTCAACAGTGTATTTCAGTCAATCTGCCTGTTCTGCTCCCCACTCTGTCTCTGGTGAATCTCTCACCCCCCATCTCTGACCTACACCCTAGTTCTTCTATGCAAAAAAAAAAAAAAAAAAAAAAAAAAAAAAATATATATATATATATATACAGGGTCAGCTATAGTCTAGAACCCCAGGGAAGAGCTATGGCAGTTCTACTTCAAGGGTGATCTGCTGGTGGAATCCCTCTTCCTCCAGGGAAATCATTTTTTTTTTGTTTTTAATTAAGACCTTCAACTGATTGGATGAGGCCCTCCTTCATTGGAAAGATAATCTGCTTTACTGAGTCTGTTGATGTAAAGATTAGATGTTAATCTCATCTAAAAAATACCTTCATCACAACACTTAGAATGTTTGGCCAAATATCTGGACACCATGGGTCAGCCGAGTAGGCACATGAAATTACCCTTCCCAGAAATGCAGCGCCTGTGTGGTGTGACAGAGAGAGGCCTGGAGTCTAGAAAAGCAGCTTGGGTTCTGGTGATTCTCTGCCAATTTCATAGTGTCCCTGGAGCTTTCTTATCTTCCAGGTGTGGTGAGACAATGCCTGCGAGTCAGCATCGTGCCAAGCACATAGTACACTGTAAATACAGATTAGCCATTAACGGGTTTTCCAGTTCTGAGTCTGAAACTCATGACCCCATCTCTGCAGTGAGGGGGGTGAACAGGATCTCTGTAGTCTCGATTTCATGACAGATCCAAGTTGAACGACTAATCAGCTGTGCTCTGATTGCGGTGTGGAGCCGTTGGCCGGGGCCATGAAACTAAAGCCACCTTGAACATGAGAGTTTGGAATAGGACAGATCTGGGATGGGAAGTGTTTCCTTTCAAATAGCCAAGAGATGGAAATGACCTAAGCACCCGATGAAGAGGGCTGGTTAAAGGTGTGGTATGCATGCAATGGAATACTACTCAGCTATAAAAAGGTGAAATCCTGCCATTGGCACTATGTATTGGCCTACAAGGGATATTGCTTAGTGAGATGTCAGAGAATACCCATATGATTTCCCTCATGTGGAAGACAAACAAAGCAAACAAAGGAACTAAACAAAACAAAAATGCTTAGATTCAGAGAACAGGTCTGTGGTTACGGGGTTGGGGGTCATCGGGAAGGTGGGGAAAGCAGGTGTATGTGTTGGGGTGTCAGTGACAGTGGTGGGTGGAATCCAAACATAATGCTGTATACCTGAAACATACGGAATCAATCAATATCATTTCAATTTTTTTCTAATTCAAAAATTTTAAAAAACAACAAATGACAGGCTGCTTGTTGCACGGCCCCACTTGTTTTCTGACTGACAATAAACTGCTGGAAACAGTTTCTTCTTTCCCTAGGGCTCCCCGAGGAACATTTGCTGGCCCCATCAGGATTTTTCTCAGTGTGGGGAACCCTGAAGCTCCAGAGTGAAACTGCCATTTGGCATTTGTCCTGGGTTTGGTTTTGTTTCGTGTTTTGTTTTGTTTATTTTTTTCCTTTACCAGAATCTCCTTCCACTTTAGTTTCATCTAAGGCCGTGTTTATCTTTCCTGCCCACGTGATGTGCTGGCAGGAGAGGGTGGGGGAAGCTTGTTTACTGAGAGGAATTGCAAGTGCAGGGGCTTTGCTCTTTGATGTCTTGTCCATGCTTCCTTTTTGGGTTGAGCACTGTTTGGAGTCTCGGGAGAGGCTGTTCTCTTTCCTTGTGCACGCACGCCTCTCTGTGCTGTGCACCTGCCTTTCCTCCTCTCCTTTCTTCCCGCTGTTCCTACCCGGAGGGAGCTGTATCTTCTGGCAGCTCTGCCCTTGGCCAGTCCCTGGGGCTCTGAGCCAGGTGGGTCCCACTCCTGTTGCATGTCCATGGCTCTGCCCCTTGCAGGGTTTCCCAGGAGAGTCTCATCCCCTTGGAAGCGGCCCTCCTCCCGGGCAGCAGACAAGTCTGCCACTGCAACAGGCTTGGAGCCCTTTGGAAGACTTGAGCTGCTTAAAAGCCTACTCCTTGCCACTTCTACCCAGGGCTATGGATTCAGTGTTTTCTGTGTGCCTGTTAGGGCTGCCGGACCTGGCACTGCCCGCGCAGAAGGCAAGCACAGCTCAGTCCTGGCCCGTCTGCTCTCCCACCTGCTCCCTCACCATTCCATAGGGTGATGCTGCCCAAGCTGTTCTTTTAATTTCAGGGCCTTCCTTCATTCACCAGATGTTTATCAAGATGTTTATCCCTGGTATGGCAGGCTCTTCTTGGTTCTGGGGACACTGTCAACAGGACAACATCCTGCTGGCTAAGCGCTTACATTCAGAATGGGGTGCAAACAAACGGCAGATAAGCCAGTTCTTTTCAGAGAGTGTCCAGGCAATGAAGAAGATTAAGGAGGGGAGGTGGGAACAGTTGGGACCACAAGGAGCAGAAAGCCCATGGGCATAGGGTGGTGTCCCAGTGCAAGTACTAAGCCTGCTGGAGCCAGACAGCAGGTTTTGAGCACAGCCCTACCTGCTCCTCCCTCAGTTTATTCACCTTTCAGATAGAGATAGTAACAGGTGCCTCCCTGTTAGGGTGGTCATGAGAATAAATAACTTAATCCATGTGAAACCCTTAAACCAGTGCCTGGAACATATTAAGTGCTATTTAAGTTTAAGCTGCTACTTTTGCGCTACCATGGATTCCTGCACCTCCCTGTCCTCACCTCGCCCTCTGCCTCCATGGCCACCTCACCTGCCCCTGCTGGCACCCCTGCTCCAGGTATTCTCCCTTCCCTGGCTTCTCTAACCCCGTGTGAGGTAGATGTTCCTCTTCTGGGGTCCAGTACTTCGCATGGCTCCTCAGAGGGACCCAGACTCCTGCTGCATCTGTGATTTCTGTGTTTCCTCCTTCAGGCTGGGGAGACACTGAAGGCACAGATTTGCTTATTCACCTTTATGCTTGATCAGTACGTATAGAATAAATAACATAACATCTATCTCATGGCTTCCGTTAACCATTGGACATGTCAAGTTGACATGATTTAAATAAGCAAGCCACGCTCCCCACCCCATGTTCAGTCTTCACTCTCACATTTTGGAATCCATCCGGCCCCATCCCACACATTTCCTGGTTTCCTATGCTTTGGGCTTCAAGATGCCAGGAAGGCTGAAAATACCAGATTTCCTGCCTTGTCGAATAGGCCCTGAAGACAGCCAGAAACATCCGCAGTGAGTTCCCTCCTCCAGATCTTATCTGACATGCGAGCAGCGCACGGTAATCGTAGCCCTACATCCAGTGTGCTCTTCCTGTCCACCTGGCTTTCCTCTGCCTAGTCTGACAGATCTTCACTGTACTGATCTCCACCCAGGACTACATGAAATCTACGAGGCTGTGCTTGTGAGCTTCGGAGACCCAGGGGGTGGCAGGAAGTCTCTCAGAAAGCAGCCCCATGCCTTCTAACTCACTTATCACAGCCTCAGGTACTAGTACAACAGAATGATCCCCCAGAAGCAGAGTGAGAACCTGAGAGATTTTCCGCTGTCTCCCAGCTTCTGCTGGGAGCATCACCAGATCCTGGGGTGGGGTGGGGCTGCTTAGACGTCCTTAGGGTCCCTGGGCAGTGTGTGCAGGGGCGGCAGCCTCCTCCTAAGACCTGCTCCCCTCTTTGCTGCCTGGGCACAGCACCATTTCAACTTTGTTGGAATTTAGCAAATACCTTCTCTGTGCCAGTCCTTGGGAAGCAATGAATGAGACAGCCCTGGCCTTAGACCAGAAAGGGAAACACCGCCAGCCATGCCCACAGCCTTGTGCTGAACTCACCATGGCTGTACCAGGCACCTCCCCTGGGGACCACAGAATGGTCTCCTGCTCAAAAGTTTGCCTGTTTCTCCTTCAGTCCTCCAAGGGCATGAAGAGCTAGGGCCTCAGTTCCCACCCCATCCACCTGCTAAGAAATAGTGAGTTGTCTGCCAGCCCATTCTCTCAGACTAAACCTCCCCATTGTCATCCACTTCTGGATCAGAAGTGGTAGAAGCCAGTCCCCACCCTGGCTCCACAGCTGATTGATAGCAGGGCAGGGACACCCCTGGCCTTGACCCAGGCTGTCCTTTCTGTGACACCATCACACCCTTCCAGGTATTTCCCTGGCCCACGTGGGAGTAGCCAAGGGAGAACCAAGCACACTGCTTGCTTTCTAGTTCCAGGCTCACTTCCCCAGATGACTCCATGGACGCATGTCCTGTAGAACCGTCCATTCCACGGGATAGGCCCTCAGACATCCCAGGCCTGGTTCTCTGGGTCAGCCTGAGGGTCAGGGAATTCACTTCGTCATTCTGCCCAGATGAAGCTTTTCCATTTTACACTTGATGCTTGGTCTCTGGAAACTTTTAAGAAATCCTATTTGGGGACAGTAGTCATGAGCCTGATCTTAATTGTAGAGAGAGAATATGTTTGCTGTGAAATGCCAAGGAATCACCAAATGTTTGTGTAGAGTCCCAGAAAGAGAAGAGCAGGAAATGAAGAAAGAAGTCCCGCGCAGGTCCTTGTGTGCAGGCTGTGCTTGTGATCATTGCCATGGTCCTTGAGTCCCTGGAGGAGAAGTGGGGGGTAGATGGACTTGACATGGTGTAGCAGCTCTCTCCTCCATGCTGCCTTCTGCAGACTCCACCCTGCTTGCTCCGACTCCTTGAGTGAGTCAAACTGAGACTCTGAGGGCGGGAGAGACTGTGTCACCTGTATCTCTGCATCCATCTAACTCAGCCTCTACTTTTGGGGTTGAAAATGGGCCTGGAAGGATGATGACGTTCCCTGATCTGAAGCCCTTTGGGGTCCTGACTGGGAACCCACTGTCTCTGGATGCCAGTTAGGACTCTTTCCCCAGTAGATTCCATACCTCAGCCAGGATGGAGTCGAGATGACTGTCACCCCTTCTTCCAGGGTCTCCAGACCCTGTCAGTCCAAACATCACTTCAGCGTAGCAAAGTAGTCACTTGTGGACTTGAGGAAATACCTGTGGTTCTGAGCTTTTGAAAGCTACTAAAATGGAAACCTCTTATTGGATCGGAAATTGATTGTACTTGAGTGAGAAGAGAAGTGGTAAGGTTACCAGGCCAGTGGCATCAGTGAAAATGTAAGTGTCAAGAAAAGAAGGCATTGTTTTTGGTGTCACCATTTCTTCCCTGCCTTCCCCACTGCCCCGCAGGCCGTCAGCTCACTGGAGCCGAAAGGGCCTCCACAGCCACCGCAGAGGAGACCGACATCGACGCGGTGGAGGTACCCCTCCCAGGGAACGACATCCTGGAATTCAGCCGTGGTGTGACTGATCTGGACGCTGTAGGGAAGGAAGGAGGCCCACATGCAGATGCCAAGGTAGGCAGGAGGTGGTGGTTCATGCAGGTACCCTGCACGAGTGCCACCTCCCGGAGTGGCCTGTGTCTCAGCCTGTTTCACCAGTCACCCCTCTCCCTCACCAGGCCGGGAGAGCAAGTGTCCCCAGCACTTTCCATTCTCCCAGAGGGACCTGAGTAATGGGGACACTGCTATGTGTCAGGATGCTGCTGAGCTCACTCCAGACCTGCATCGCCCTCCAGGGTGTCCTGGTGCTCAGCCCACTTCTTTCCAAAAGCCCTTGATGGTACCTCATTCCTACACAATACCCGTGTATGCCTCGATGGGATGGGGTCCTGTGGGCTTGCTGGGGAGGGGAGTGCTCTGGGCCTCTCTGTCTGTGGCTGTGTCCCATGCGACAGCTCTGCGAGGTTGCTCACTGGGCCGCTGGAGATAGACACTGAGAGGCCTGGTCACCTCCAGCCTCCCCCTTGTGGTGAGATGACAGGAACCCCAAAATTACTATTCAGATTAAGAAACGAAGAGCATGAGACCAGCTTCCAACCTGAAGACAAAGCAAACAAAAAGCCCAGAGGGAAAATTTGAATGCCTGGCCTTGCACTTAGGTCCACCTTCTCTGTATCCCGTCCCTGTCCCCATCTTGCATGCACCTCTGTCAGGTGAGATCCTTAGACCGGATCAGCAGAAGCAGAAGTCTATCTAGCCTGGAGGGCCTTTCAGTTCCAAATGCCTGCCTGGTATTTTCCTTGACACCAGCTTGTCCTCAGCACGTGGCAGTGTCCTTGTTACTGCGTGCCTTCCTCCAGCACATCCTAGTCAGGGCGAGCAGAGGACTCTCCCTGCACTGGAAGTCTCTGGATTGGAGAGGCTACTAGTCGTGGCTTATTGGAGAGATGCTGGATGTGGGAGAGGGTCAGGAGACAAACTGCTTTCAGCTAAAGGCGAAATCCATCTGGAAATTGTCTCTTTGGGTGTCTAGACTTCCTTCCTGGTGGCTGTCCCTGAGGGAGGGTCTGGTGGGCTAGAGCCGCCTCCCTCCTCCAGTGATCAGCTCTGGAGAGATATGCAGGCCCTGGTGGAGGGACCCCTAAGGGCTCCCCTTTTTATGGTGGGACTTAGGATGGTGTGTTAGGTAGAGCCTTCTAAGTCCAGAACTTCAAATGACTCACAACATGGTTTTATTGGAAGTGATGGCTTGAAATGGGGCAGCATTGCTGTTCCCCAACACCTTGGTTACCCCAGTGTGCAAATCAGACTTCTGACCGGGACTCTAGCCAGGCGGTCACCCCACCTCCTCACTAGGGTTTCCCGTCCATATTTCCATGGCAGATGTACATTTCTGGCTCCTGGTTAAATGGACAGTTCCACCCCCACGCCTGTGCTCCCCTGCGGGGTAACGCCTGCCTGCTCTCCTCTTCTGCCAGGTCTCGCCGCCTGCCCAGGAGCCGGTGCTGACAGCCTCACCCAGGATGCTGCTGCCCTCTTCCTCCTTGAAGGCCCCAAGCAGCGGGGCACCTCTCTCCACCCACCACCAGATGCAGCTCCTCCAGCAGCTCCTCCAGCAGCAGCAGCAGCAGACACAAGTGGCTGTGGCCCAGGTTCTCTCCGCCTCCTGCCTACTTCGCAGGCTCCACCCTCATGGGCTTGACACGCCTTCCCTAGCGAGGGGCTCAGGGCAGGTGTAACACTTAGGGAGCCGTAGGGGGCGCTCGTGCTGTTGGATCATTGCTTGTTGGGGAGCAGGGGTAGGGCGGCAGGAAGGGCCAGATGGGGGATGCAGAAGAAATGGAAAGAAACATTTTGGTTTCCTGTGTATCCCCACTCTGAGCTGGGCTTGGCTGGCTTGGCTGGATGTTGTTGGATACTGATTCAGACTCACCAAGGAACAGGATGCACATGATGCTGCCCCCCTTTTCCTGCCTTCTTTTCCTGGGAGATTCCTGTGGGGTCAGGACGGGGGTGACTGCTTTGTGATGCCACTCTTAAAAGAGCTGAAAGTGTGAATCTGTGCCCAACTCCCTTGCAGAGACTCCCACCTGGTGTACCAACCACATTGTCCACACAGATTTCCTCGCCTCCGTGGCGATCCTTTTGTTCCAGGCAGTATTTGGCACCGTTTTGGCCTGAGAATTCATTATAATGGCATTTAACTTATAGGAACTTAGGTGTTTTATTTGCACCATAATGAGAACGATCAGTTTACATCTCCAGAGCAATGTAGTCTTTGAACCCCCAAAGACTTGTGAGGCCCCTGCTTTTTGTGAAAAGGGACAAGCGGACTTCGACTTCCCGTGCTACTTTTTAACCAGGATTCCCTTGCTTGCTTTCTGCAGAGGGCCGTGGTCCTGCTCACCCAAACTTCACCTGACAGTGTGCAGTCAGGGGGTGGGGAGACACATCAGTCCTGTCACTCACAGACCAGACCCTGTGGGGGAAGTCAGCTAAAGTTAAGGTAGATGAAGGCCATGAGAGGCAGGGCCTTTGGCTTGGGGGTGTTGGTGAGAGATCTGGAAAGGCAGCTGTGTGTCAACTTTCTAAATCTGCTTGACCACACTGACCTCTGAGGTTCTGTGTGTTCTCACATCAGGGGACAGATCCCCCCATTTCTTCTGCTCACTCTTCTCCTGACCTTGGGTGGACAATCACCCAGACAGTACTGTCCTTTTTAATATGCAACCTTGAGGAAGCTTCCAGCAGCCTGGCCCTAGCTGGCTCCACTCATTGTGTGTGTTTGGAAGAGATTTCTGATAACACAGCCTTTGCGACTGTGACACTATGGATGTCTTGTCAGCTGAGTTTCCATGAGAGGGGCAGTGCTCCAGGTTTATTTGAGCCTTTTAAAAAATATTCTAACCATGAGACAAAGATTGCTAGGAGGAGCAGTGTGGCTGATGGCTTCTTCATTGGCAGTTGGGGGAATGTGGGGGTGGAGGAGAGAATCATGCCTCTTTGTCAGATAACAAAATTCATCCCTGCTAGTTAATGATGGCATGGTGGTCCCCAGACCCCCTCCCTACCATCCTCCACTGTGTGATTGCTGACAGGAGCACAAAGCCCGAGCACTGCAGCAGGGCTGTACCATCATTTCCCAAAGTTTCCTACTGAATAAAAATCCATTCTCCAACCATCATACTTTTTTCTCCATCAGCATATCAATTGCCAAGTAATTATTATTTATCTAGGGATGGACTTGATGCATATTCATGATGAACATTATCAGGCATTTGAATTTGAAGTCACCGCTAAATACTAAAGAGAAAGTGTTTAGTTGGTGTTCTCTGCAGCTCACTTGCAACACCAGCTAAGGCATTCCCCACAACCAGCAAGCAATTCTCAGAAACCAACAAGGCATCCAGGAATTCAGCTCAATTCTGACACTATCTACCTGGAAATAGTGTCAGGTCCCACAGGTTAATTACTTGGTCTCTCAAGACCCCACTAGGATCCCCAGGCGAGCCCTTACCTCTGGCCAAAAGAATAAAAATCAGGGTCCTCTGAGCCCATCCTTAAACTTCATGTGCCCCTGGCAAGCTCAGATTATTATCTGTGTTTCCGACAGTTAGTTTTAAACCAGAGGTTCCCAGAACACCCACCTCAGTTTCCATTAATTTGCTAGGACCGCACACACAGAACTCAGGAAACCTGTGTACTCAGTAGATCACTGATTCATTATAAATGATACTAAAGGATACAAATTAACTGCCAGTTGTAAAAAAAAAAAAAAAAAATGATAGGGCAAAGTATGGGAAAGGTGCTTTCATGCCCTCTCCAGCATGCCACACTCCCCCGAAGCTCCCGCATCTTTACCAGTCTGGAAGCCCTTGGAGCCACCTCCTCTTGGGTTTTTGTGGAGTCTTCATTACGAAAAATTGATTAAATTATTGGCAGTTGAACTCTACCTGTAGCCCCTCTCCCCTCCCAGGAAATCAGAGAATGGGGCTGCAAGTCCCACCCTCTCTTCTTGGTTTCTATGGCAATAAGCCCACACATGTCTCAGGTGTTTTCCAAAAGTTACTTCCATTAATAGCACAAAAGACACCTTTATTGCTCACAAAACACAGAAAATCCCAAGTGTTGGGGAGCTGAGAGACAGAAACTGTGGAGGAAGACCAAACAGGTATGAGAAATATATATTTCTCTTAAGTCACAGTATTGTAGAAACTATTTGCAAGTGTGTAATCTGCATAACAATGAGAGTTGTGGAAGGGAACACTCATTCTGCAAAAGCCCAAGGCCTCTAACTTACCATGGTTAACTGAAAATAAAGTCTCCACGATATTTAGACAAAGAGTTTATTAGATAAAGTGAGGATTCAAACCCAGGAACCCATCTGACAGATTTTACTCAGTGAGACCTAGTCTAGTAACACAAGTTAGAATTTAGTTTATATAGATAGGAACAGTTAGTCATTGGCATTAAGAATATTTCTATTCTTAATAGAAGGAGCTTCTAGTGCTAAGTTATTAGCACCTAAAGATATGCTGGTGCTAGAGGAAGGCCATGCAAGATAATCCCTTCCTTTCTAAAGAATGCTCTGCACAGATGCAAAGGCTGAGTCCCCATTGTTGAATCTTCTTTCTCTGGCTCCATCATCATCAGTGGGTATAAAGAAGTTGGCATTACCTTGGCAGCAGAATTCCTGCATAGGTTGCAGGATGGAGCCTGTTCACACTTTAGGTCTGTGAAGATGGATTTGCTCTCTTGACTGCTACACAGGGAAGGGAGGGACAGAAGGTTTACCAGATGTTCACACAGGATGCCTCAGTTAGGATGACATCCTATGGGTGGTTTCCTGGTGCATCATCAATCCTCTGTCTCAATGGGACATCACTGCTGCCCTGACCCTATTTTAATCTCTGTCCTAGAATATGTGAAACTGGAGAGGGTGGGGCACCTGCAGCTTCTGATTCAAAATCTGTTGTGTGCCCTTGGTGGTGCCTTAGTCAACTCTCAGTTTGGGCATTGATGTAATTGAAAGGCTGCTATAGTCATCAGTAGCGAACACTGGTGAGTGACTTGAGAAGGATCGTAGATTTGCAAAATCATCAGTTCGTACAGGACCTTCTGGTCATCTGATAGCTTCTAGAATGCTCTCCTCTATCTTTTCTGCCCTCCCCAGGGTGGCCTCTGGTCCCTTCTGTTTGTAGCTTCCTCTAGTAGCTAGGAACGCAGTGGAGGTGTTTCACCTCTCAGTTCACTTTCCACTCCTCTGTCATCCAGGGCATTCATCCAAACTTCAGATTACAGGTTCCTCTGACACGTTTCTCTCTTCCACTCTTTGTAGCATTTGGTCCAAGGACTTTGGTTAGTATCTGCATCTTCAGGTCTAACAAATTTTATCGGATTTGTGAGTGAATTAATGGATAGGTCTTCCTGGCATCTGTCATGCATTTAAAATAGATCAAATCCAGCACACCTCCTGTCTGCATGGTAGGATCGATTTTGGTGTCCAGTACGAGGTCAGCACCTACTTATTCTGTCAGTCTCCATTGCCACCAAACTGCAAGTTTCTGTTTGTCTTCATTAAACTACCAGCAGTCCCCAAAATTTCAACTACTGCAACTTCAGTGCTTCAGGGGAGAACACGTTTCCTTTCTCTTGGACTCCTGGGAAGAGCTCTGATGGTAAAGACAGTTTCTTGGGGTCCCTTGTTCCGTTATTCAGCACCCCCATCACCAGTCACTGTCACAGCAAGATTTGGTTATTGCTAGACCCAGGCTAAGGTCTCCTCCATGGTACTCTTATTTGGGGTATATGCCAAGACCCCTCCCAGCTCACCCCAAGTTGATTCAGAGCTGGTTTAGAAGGCCTTCTTTGGCCTGGAAGATACCTGGGCACAGGTGCTGTTCACCCAGCTCTTAAGCATTCCAGGTTGGCCCTCATATAAATAGTGAATACCCACGCCCCTCTGACCACTTTCCCCACCCAGCATGACCCTTGCTTGGCTGCACTAGCTTCCTGCTTCCTGGCACTTGAAGTTCCAGTGGGTAAACAAGAGTAGAGCAAAGCCTTAAACTAGAGTTTAGATGTATCTGGCACGTGCATGGTTGTGGACTGGGCCTGCCCAGTTCCAGAACTCATCTGGGCACTGAGGCTGACTGGCAGCAGCTAAGTAGGCTAGATCCCTTCATGGTTTGCCAACTTCTGGCCTAGCTGGTGAGGAAAATGTTAGTGCCGCTCGGTGTTGCTATTTACAGATTTCTCTTCTACCTGCCGCCACTCGTGCTTATTCAGAAGCAAGTGATTATTTGTGCTTTGCTATGGTGTGTGCTGTCGTTAGTTTGAGGAACACTCTAAAGACACCCCACACCCCCGCTCTAGGCCTTCAATTTAGCTTCTGTCCTCATGGCTTCCCCCGGCCCCTGGTGCCCTGGATGCACTGCTCAGGCCCCTGCCTTATGCATGTGAGACAGCACCGCCTGCCTCTGCTCTTGTCTGATGTGTGTTGGGGGAGGGGGGCAAATCGCTCTGGTTCTCTCCACTGCCATTTTCATGTGCCTGCTGCTCCCTAACATCATCCTGGCCCTGCCCCCACTTCTCATGGAGGAGCTGGAGTCCAGGCAAGTAGGCCGGAGAGCGAGTGGGCAGTGGTCTGGTGCTGCGGGGTGGGTTGAGGGTGGATGTTAGCGTTTCAGAGGTGCAGGGTTGAAGTTATGCTTTGTAGTGCAATCACTGGAATGCACAGCCAACCATCTGAGCACTGCACTCCAGGCGTGGCCCTCCACTGACTTATAGGGCCAGAGTAGTGATTGCAAAGGTGAGCCCCAGCAAGGAGACATTAACTTGTGCCTTTCCAGAAATTAATATGGCCTACCTTTGCAAAAGGTGTTTAATTCTTTAATAGAAAAGGCCAAATGAAAATATATTTCCCATCTGGTGGGGAGGAGTCAGTGCTTTCTCTTTGTGTTGTGTGATTAAAGAAGCAAGTGCCTGGCCCCAGTGCAGACCGCCAAGCCAGGGCTGGAAATAATACCATCTTATTTCGGTGCTTCAGGGCTAGACCTAAATATTATAAGACATAGGGACTATTAAAATGGTAAAAGAAGTCTAGACCATTCTGTCTCATTGTGGCCTGGCATGGGTTTTCCTGTGGCGCAAACTGCTGCAGTAGAGGTGGTGAAGCCTGGGGCCTGATGTTCTCTGACCGCGGCAGTGCACCAGTGCGTGCTCTGCAACTCCAGGGCTTGAAAGCACCTGAAATGTTCTAACTCTGCCTTTGCAACGCCAAAATTTTTATTTACTCTGGTGCAAGCAACACTCAAACTCAGGAGTGTTTTCTCATAGTGCTTGGTTCCTGTGGATTTATGGGGGAAGCATCAAGGAACTTGGTGATTGGACTGATGGCTATTCCACCACTGGAACTGGGGTGCCTGCAAAAGAAGCTTTCAACTTTTCTTTTCCCTGGCTTCTGAAGCAGGGAACTCTATTGTGTCCCTAATCCTATTTCCCTGGTTTCCCAATGGGGATTTCGGGGCTTTCTTCAGAGAGCCTTTCATGAGTAGCCCCTCGTACTGGCCAGTGTGTCTACCGGATACAGAATCATAGATGATGAGCCTCTAACCAGCCCTCTCTGTTGAGATGGAGAAATTACTGACAGTTACAGAGGGACTATCCAGCTCCCTGGAACATTCCAGCCCTGGTTGGACCCTGCAATGGCCGGTTCTATCAGGTTGTTCAGGTGCAGAGTGTGGGCACCCAAGGGTGTGGTGTGTTTGTGCCAGAAACAATGTAGGTACTGGTTAACTGTATGCAGAAGCAAAATACTCTGCTCTCTGTTCACACGCACTGAAAATTTTACTCCACCTCATGTTTCTTTTTCTTCCAAGGAATGGTTAATGATTTGTCTGTTCAGTGGATGCCTTCCTGTATTCCTTTTATTAAAATAATTAATGATACTCGCAGCTGGAAGAGTATAAGACAACTCTTCCTTTGGGGGTACTCTGGAGGGCCCTCCTCATGGCCATTTTCCCATTTTTTAGAACCAAGAGGATTTGGGGGACTCCTGGGTGGAGTCTGTGCTTAATTTCCAAGGAAGGTGAAGGCTTAATAGCTACATGTCACCTTCTATCCAGACTGAAATATTATCTCTGCCTCATTTCCTATTCTCACCCATCTCTAGACCTTTCCTTAGTTTTTATGAGGCAGCAAATGAGACTGATAACTAACATATCACTTCCTTCCCTCAGAGTCCTGAGGGGGCCAGATTTCTTTTAGATTCCTTAGCAGACCTTCCCTGGAGAAAGACCCAACCTTGGGAGTCACTAATAGAAAATGGCAACTAATCTCATTAGCAGATCCACTTAGAAGCAAAGCCCCCCTGAAAGGCCAGGGCCTCAGATCTGCGTGGGGGAGTAAGGGAGGCAGCCTGTGTACCCCAAGGGTTATTCTGACTGCAGGAGGGGTCCACGCCGGGTGGCAGGTCCCGTCAGGCTTGTTGTACTGCGGCTGGACATGGTCTTTTACTCCCTGATAAAATGTGTCTTTGGAGCAACCTGATCTCCAGAGACCCCAAGCATTTGTTACCTGAGCAAAATAATCAGCTTCCTTATAGGCCCTTCTTCCTTCCTCCCTGCCTGCCCTGCTCCAGTCATCCTGTCCTGGGTCTTTATCCACACACTGGTTTTGGCCAAGGAAAACCCTCTTTCCCACAAGCCACCTTGGCCCAGGCTACCAAATTCATTAGCTCCCTTTCTTCAGGGGGCCTTCTGCAACCCTCCACAGAGACCCACATTTCCTCTTCTTAGATAAGAGTCACATGAATGAGAATTATTACTGTCTTGTGTGACTCAGTTTCTTCAAGCCAGGGTTTTAAAGTAGTCACCCTCATATCCTCCCACTAAGTCTATCCCCACTCCCAGATTGCATACCAGAAAGACCCCACTGAGCCCCAAGCTTACGGGGTGTGCTCTTCCTGGCTGCTCTGCCTTGAGAGTTGATGGGGGGGGGTCCCTTCCTCCCTCAGAAGACAGCCTGTTCAGTGCTCAGCATAGCCTTCCAGGCACTGGAAGAGACATTTATGAATCTATCAGCAAACATTTGACACGCCCTCCCCCCCCCCCCCCAGGGGTGAGGAGCAGTCCTGGGAAATAGGACTGCAGAGTCCATGGAAATAAAGAAGGAATGGAGAGTCAGGCAAAGAGCTGACAGCAGACATAAATAGATAGGCTTTGCTAAGACCCCTTCCCTAATGTAGAAAGGGTGTGGAGTGCTCCCCATTTCTCATGGTGCTAGGTGTGAGGAAGGGGAGAGAAAATATAGGGTTCACCATGAAATTGTTCTCAGCTAGTGGGTCAGCATATCAGTTTTCGGTTTTGAAAAGACAAGATGAAAAAAGGCATGTCCGTCAACATGGCAGGTGCTGCAGGAATTTTCCTGATAAGGCTGAGGGGCAGAGGCGGGGCAGCAATGGCTCTTCCCTACTTGCCACTCTCAATCACTCACTGGAGCCCACCGTGACTCACGAGGGACCTACAGAAATCCGCAGGCCAGTGTCCCAGCTCCCCACTCTCTGCAGTGCTAGCTCAGGTGCCCATTTTGCCTGTAAAGGGCTCTTCACTTGAATTGAATATGGAAAGCACTTCTGGTCCCTGCCAACCTCCTTGATATTTGTTTGCATTTATTCCCTCTCTCCTGTCTGTCCTATCTTCTCTCTCTCCTCTGTCTCCTGCTCCCTGCAGGTCCACTTGCTGAAGGACCAGCTGGCTGCGGAGGCTGCAGCACGGCTGGAGGCCCAAGCCCGCGTGCACCAGCTCCTGCTGCAGAACAAGGACATGCTGCAGCACATCTCTGTGCTTGTGAAGCAGGTGCAGGAGCTGGAGCTGAAGCTATCAGGACAGAGCGCCAGTAAGTCAGGCCCTGCCCATCCCTGTCTTACGGGGGGTCTGAAAAATACACATTATTTCCCCTACAGCTTTTCAGAACCTTTTCATGTTGTGGTATTCTAGAAAACAAAGGCAGCTTTGTTCATCAGCCATACATTTCATGGAATTTTAGAGTGACAGGGCCAGTGGGGACCTGCCTGCCACCTACTCGGTGCCTGGACTTGGTCTTGAGTGGCCCAGTTGTCACTGCCACAGGTCTGTGCTCTCATCCTGAAGTACCATTTCTTTCTCAGAGGGCTTTTCCTGTAGAAGTATACTGAGCACCTACTGTACAACTGGCCCTCTGGGAGACATCAGACTCAAGGCTCACTGCACTAGTTCACAGCACTGTCTCAGAGCAGACCTGGTAGCATTCTACATGGGCGGGGAAGGCAGGAGAGTGGCCATCGCTCTGCTCGTTAGTGGAGAGGCTGCCTGACCCTGGGACTGGAATACTTATTTCTGCACCTGGCCACTTTTAGTCTGGACTAGAAAGTTCTGGAAAGCAGCACATTGACAGACCTTCTTCACGAGCTTATCTGGGGCTTGCATGTTTGACATTTGTTTGCATTCATATCCATTGATGACTTGCTGTGCCAGAACCTGTGCTAGAATTGATGAGACGTGATCTCATCAAAGCCAGGAGGTGGCTATGTCATTAAGCCACTTTTACAGAGGAGAAAACAGACACAGAAGATTAAAAGTTGTTAGGCCGAGGTTACAGGAGTACCAAGGCATGGAGCCAAGATCCAAACCCAGGTCAAATTGTAAAACTAAGGCTTTTCCTATTATGTCTTTAGTTACCCCCAAACTAGCCTGTGAGTGTTTTAAATGATGGCATTCCCAAGCCCAACCCATGGAGACTCTGCCTCAGCAGGCTTAGTGCCCCACAGGCCTGGGCTGGGCGTATGTGTACTTCACCACCCTATCAGCCACCCTGGATGTTTTCAGTTGTGTTTACAGGGACCCTGCTCTGTCTTACAGACTCCCATTATCAAGGATGTAAATCAGCATTAACTTGAACCTTTCCCTACAAACACTTCATTCCAGGCTTTCACAGACCTCCCTGGTCACTTAGCACGTGGTTATGCTTTGTGGTCGCAGGCCTCCTCCCAGCCTGGGGTTCCAGGGCTGCGTGAGGGTGGAAGGCGACCACACTGCTAAAGGTGCAGACTGTAGGGAGTGCCCAGGTCAGGGAGGGATGCCACAGGGCCTGGTGTCGGAGGACTGGCCCCTCCCCTTGGCCTGAATATACCCCTTCTTCCTTTGCAGTGGGTTCCCAGGACAGCCTGCTGGAGATCACCTTCCGCTCGGGAGCGCTGCCAGTGCTCTGTGACCCCACCACACCCAAGCCGGAGGACCTGCCCTCACCACCACCTGGTGCTGGCCTGGCTGACCTGGGCCCCCTGGCGGGCAGCCCCCTAGGTAGGCGAGAGCGCTGGGTGAAGCTGGAGTGCTTCCGCTTCCTCCCGCCTGAGGACAGCGTGCTCCCGGGCGGCCTGGAGCTCTTCAAGTTTCGCGAGTCGGGCATCGCCTCAGAGTATGAGTCCAACACGGACGAGAGTGACGAGCGAGACTCATGGTCCCCAGAGGAGCTGCCCCGCCTGCTGAACGTGCTGCAGAGGCAGGAGCTGGGGGACAGCCTGGACGACGAGGTGGCCGTGTAAGGGCCCCTGGCGGGCCGATGCGCACGGCCATGGACGCCTGGGGCTGGAGGGGGTGCAGTTTAGGAAAGGGTCAGGATTTGGCTTTGGAGGTTAAAGTGGGGAAGCAATGGGATTCCAGGAGTGAAGCGTCTCCCCTCTCCTAGTTGTGACTAGAGGGGGCTAGCAAGCCTTTCCAAACCCAAGACTTGGGACAGGGTCCCTTTCAGAACCACCAGGCTACTGAAGGACCTGCTCCCTGCCAGCTGTGTCATCAGGCCCTTCCTGTGTCCATCATGTGGTGCCCCCTCCCCCATCTCCACGATCCTGACCATAAAGGGAAGCCATCAGTACCTTCTCAGGTACTTTGTTTGGGTATCAGGATGCAACCGGTTGCCTAACCCTCCCTGACCTTGGAGGGGAGGGAGCCTTGTCTGGGCCCTTCAGAGATTGTAGAGGTTGAATGCGCTGTGCTGGGAAAGATAGGGCTGTCCTGTTGGTGTGAGTGTGGAATCGGGAGGTGTCATGCTCGACAAGCTATTGAATGAATTGGATTTAGATGTGGGGTGTTAGATGTGGCTTCAGAGGGATACCTGGAGTGAATGTTGTCCAGGCTCTTGAGTGGGAGCCGGTGGGGAGGACAGTGCTTTTCTGCCACAGATTTCTCAGAATGGAACCCCAACCCCTTCTACCACCAGCCCGGCCTCTTCATAGAGACAGGGAAGCTGACCTTTCTCCTCCATGTCTTGCCCAGAGGCAGTGTCAGCTGAAGCCTTTGTGGTACCCTTACCTCTGTGCGAGAGACCTGAGCCCCCAGCCCTACCTTTCAACCTGTCCCCTCCCCTGGGCAGTAGTGGTCACTTCTTTGCTGAAGAAGAAAAAACGAACACAGGCAGGTGGCTAGACTGTTTATGTCCACTCAGAATCACTGCCACTAGGTTAGGGACAATGCCAAGCTGCCATTGGCTCTTCTCTGTAGGTACAAGCCTTGGGCACACCTGTAAAAAGTGCTACATGCAACTCTTTTACTTTACCATCCAGGCCTTGCATGAGGGTTGTCACTTGGCACAGTGGCTGGGCAGGGAAGATGGGCTTTTTTGCTCCAGCAGGGCAAGAAGTGACTGGTAACAGATTGAATGGCGCCTGGAGAGAAGGCTGAGTCTTTATCCTGGACAAGCTACAGATCTAAACTGCAGTATTACTTGAAGGCCAGTTTGGTAAGGATGTGGATGCCTCAAAGTGGAGTTCTACAACCCTAACTTTGCTTTCTAATGTAGATAAACCAAAGTGCAGCCCTTTACTTATACAGTTGAATTTCTTCTTGACCAGAAAGTCCAAATTAAAAGAAATAAACATAGCTTTATGTCCCCCAATGCACCAGGATGTCAGTAGAAGTGGAAAAGGGTGTTGGCGTGTGTGTGCATGTGTGTGTGTGCGCACACGTGTGTGTGCACGTGCACTTGTGTGCACCTGCCTGCCTGTATATGTGCTGGTGTATACACGTGTCAGGGAAGGTATGTATGGGCGAGCTTGTGAGAAATGACCAGAGAATGGGAATTTCCAGGGTATTTGGTTCAACAGTAGATGTGTGATCTTTCCTAATATACATTTAGTTGGAGAGTGGTGGTTCTGTTTATTTTGTCGTATCTCCTGATTAACCGTTGGAAGTAGGTCCAGATAGGAAAGGGAAGAACCAGGAAAGTGAAATCCTTGAAATCAAAGGAATCCAGCTTGGCTGAGCCTGTCTGATAGACAAAATCCTAACCTGGGCTTCCTTGAATGTGGGGCTCTTCTGTCTTTATAATTTGGGTGTTTAGGTGGGGTAGAACTCTGGCTTCTCCAGGCTCGCTGCCTGAGGATAAAGCCAGAAGCCAATGGATTAGGTGTGTGTGGGCTGGGATGAGGTTTGGGTGGAGAACATAGTTTCTAAAAGGGTCTGGAAAAGTTTTCGAAGGAAAAGGAGGTGAGATGGAAGAATTGGGAACACTTGTTATCTGTAAACCTGACCAGGGACCTCATTCCAAACCCCCCTTTGGATCGTTCCCTGGTGGTTTCTGCCGCCTCCTCTCTGTCTTGTCCCGACACCCTCATGGAGCACTGGTTCACATGTTGGTCTCCTCCCCAGTGTGGCTCGAGTCTGTGTACGCTGGGTGTGTAGAGATGGGTGACGAGGGTCATCAGCCATGGGCCTCCGTGAGTACTTGCTGGACAGGAAGGGAGAATTCTTGAACTGCTCTCCCAGCAGTGTTACTGCCCTCTTCCCTCTTCGCTTCCTGCTCTGCTAACTCAACTCCTGCCTTCCTCTCTTCCTTCTGCTCTGCCTGGTATGGAGGACAAGTGAACACCGGGGCCATCTACCGTATTGGCACCTGCCCAGCCCACCCAGGTGCCAGCCAACCCTTGGGCACAGAGGCTCTCATACCTGAGGAGCCAGAAAAGAATTTCTCTGACCAAGATGGACTGTATTTGGGACTGAAAACTCTACTCCTTTACTCCTGCTTTTCTCGATGCTCTCTGTAAAACCTCGTCTTAGCCTCACTTCTCTCCATGCTCTTGTTTAGATGTATTCCCTTTACTTACTCTTCGCCTGACTGCTTCCTCCCCACCCCACAGCCCTCTACTTCCTAAACCTGTTGTGTCATTAACTCTGTTGGCTCAACTCTCTGGGAAAAGATTCTGTTCATGTAAGTGCACTTACTCCCTGGATGTTGTCACTAGTCTAGTGGCTTTTGCTAAATAAACCTTTCTTATTTCTAAAAGCTTTCCCATTGTCTTTTCTTGCTGCTTCTACTCCTCCTCCTACTCCTCTCCCTCACCCCTGGCTCCTGCCACCTGTACCCTCCCTCCCAAGTCAGGCAGCATCAGCTCTGAGACACTCCTTCCCGAGGGGATTCATATCTTCCCTGTTGGAGGGAGAGGGACGGTGGCACCTTCGGTCAAAATTTCATGAGATCAGCCTCGCAGGACAGGCTGTATGTGGTTTGTATAGCAGGCTGAGTTTGCTCCCCTGAGGGACAGTGGGTGATACTGGAGACAGTTTTGGTTGTCAGAACTGGGGAAGGGATGCTTTTGGAATGTAGCAGATAGAATCCTGGGTTTCTGTTTAACATTCCACAGTACACAGACAGACCCCTCAGCAAAGAACTGTCAAGACCCAAATATGGGCAGCGCTGAGGTCGAGAAAATCTGGTCCGTATCCGGGTTTTTAGACACTTGCAACCCCAAGTCATTTCAAATTCCCAACATCACTGGGATTTACAGACATTGACAGCAAGTTCTGAGTGCTTGAAAAAGTATGCCATCGTGTGTATTTTCAGATTTAGCTAAGAACATCAAGATTATAAGATTTCACTGGCTCCCTGACTAGACATCTGAAATAAGTGGTAGGATTCAGAATGGACCTGTTCTAGAAACATCCATGCTGGAGGTTCCATGGGCTCCTCCCACACCCACCTGGAAGAATTCTGGTGTCTTCACGACATCACTCTACAGGGGGTCTTGGCTCCCTGGACCTTGGCTCCCTGGGCTTTCCTGCCCAGGAGAGTAGACATGAAAGGCGAGGACACTGCTATCAGGGGTGTCTGAAAAACAGGGAGCTCAGGGTCTCGTGATGAGAACCAAATGACTCTGCGCGGCACTTCTGGCCGTTCTGAAGGCAAAGGGAGAGTTAAGCCCTGACACTTGGTCAGATCCAGGCAGAAAGGAAAGTTGGGAACCAGGCCAGCCAGGTTCCTGCTCCCTCTGACCTTTCCTGGCTGAGTGAACTGAACTGCGCCTTACTTTCTCATCTGTAAAACAAGGATAAAATATACAACCTAGGGCTATTATCAAGTGAAAATGAGACTGCATTTTAAGAGCACCCAGGAGCAGAGTGCCTGTGGTACCTGGGGCACTGCAAGTCACCCTCTCATTAACCCAGGAGGCTGTGCCCTTGAGGGCAGCACAGCCTGCCCCCGGGCCTTGTTCGAGGTGCAGAGACATCCCTCAGAGCCCTGCACTGAGTTCCTAGGGTCCCACGACACTGGCTGTTTGGGTGAGATGTGACACATACAGAGTCACCCTTCCTCAGGGAGGAACACACAATGAGAGACACTGTCAGGCAGACAGTGCTGACCTGTGCTGGGCCCAGCCCTTCGTGCATGTCCCAGCCTGTGACTCAGTGCCCTGGGGTGGGAGGCGAAGGCAGCAGATGCCAGTTCCTTTCTTGGTTCACCCACAGCATGGTCAGGGGTACACATGACTTGATTAAGAAGAAACCTGCAGGGCTTGACTGGCTTTTTCGCACTGAAGGGAGGGAGCCAGGCCTGGGGATGGATGAGGGTACTGCCTGGGGACAGCATCTCAGGCTGAGCTGGTAGGGACCCTGCACCCAGCTGGATCCTGAGGTCAAGTGGACTCAGGAAGGAGAAGCAGAAGAGCCAGGCAGCATGTGGAATGGTCTCACGACCTGGGGCCTGATGGGGTTTGAGCCCAGACCCTCTTATTCTGTGGGGAGCAAAGAGAGAACCAAAATGATGTTTTCATACAACAAAAAAAAAAAGAACAGGCAGCCTTTGTGAGCCCATATGGTGGGGTTTCCAGATGTCTTACAGTGTAAGCACTGGAAGGGCTGGGGGGACCCTCCACCCCATCTACTGGCCAGAAAGTAGCAGAGACAGGGCCACCAGAGGGTCTGTGGAAGGAAATTCCCCTCTGCGGTGCCAGGGCCCCTGAGTCCTTAGGGAGATGGAATGAGAGGTAAATTAAGCCCAAATATATCAAGAATCAGTGGTTTTTGTTTGTTTGTTTAAGTCACATCATGGACAACCAAGATGCTTTCTGCCCATGTCAGAGATGGCATGGGACATTTGCTCAGAGCTGAGTAAGTATGCAGTATGTACTTGGTGACTGCCTGCCTGATTTGATGTGACTCACATGACACGTGTAGAGAGGCCCCTGGGATCACACTGATTCTGCTCTATTACAAGAGCTGCCCCTTTGAAGTGCTCTGGAGTCTGTGAGGGGTAGGGAGGACAGGCCTATCCCTGTTTGCCACTTTGCTGTTTTATTTACAGGCCTCTCCTATCTCTCAGCACACCAAATAGCTAAGAAGCAGCCAAACTGTAGATTCTGCTAGTGGAAGCTTCCCTGTGCCAGAAGGAAAGGACATCCACCCTTTTCCCACCAGTGTTATCTCCCTCACAGTGGGGCAGGGAAGTGGGGAAGGGACTGGTTACAGAGGGGCCGACAAGCTCAGCTTCTTAAAGTGGTGCCTCTCCTCTTAAGGCTGTACCAGCGTCGCCTGAGTCTGACTCAAGTCTGAGTGGGGTCTGAGACTTGTCCTTCTAGCAGATTCCTGGGGGTGCTGCCCTGCAGGTCTGGGACTGCCCATGGAGAGTGGTAAAGGGGCAGGGAGGTGAACCTGGTGTCTCCCAATATGGTTAGAGGACTGGGAGACAGGCTGGGGTCCGGGTTGGGGGGGGGAGCGGAGAACAGCAGGAGGAACCAGGTGACCTTGGACTTGACGGAGGTAGAGACTAACTTGGATTTATTGACCTCTCTCTAGAGACATAAATAGGCTCCACCCTGTTTCTCTGAGGTGTTCACTAACAAGGTAACATCTGCCCTTTGGGGGCTACTTGAAGGCTTGGCCACTGCCTGAGGAGAACCTGTCCCCAGGCCTGGCCTTCTGCTCCTTGCCCCAGAGGGACTTGAGCTTGCGGTAGTACACCTTGCAGCTGAAGCCCTCCTTGAAGCCCCCCCTGATGTGGCTCTTGAGGGAGTGCAGGGTGGGGTACATGCGGCAGCAGGCCACGCACTTGAAGCCGCTCTGTTGTGCCGGGTGCCACCTGCAGGCCTCTAGGATGTCCTGTGACGTGATGTAGTCCACTGAGTCTGGGCTGTGCTGGAATTTCTTGGTGGCTTCTCGGGGGCACATGTTCTCTGGGGAGGAAGAGGATGAGCATAGGCTCTCAGCCACATCCTCAGGGAAGCAGCTGTCCCCCCTGCCCTCGTCCTGCTGCACCTCTGGGAATCTGTAGGTCTCCAGATGGCTCTCCTTGTCTGTGCACACGAAGTAGCTGTAAGGAGAGAACCAGGGCCGGTAGATGGTGCAGTTCCGCCTCAGTCGCTCCCCACTTTGGGGGTACCCTAAGATGTAGTCTGCAAAGGAAAGGGCTGGGTCTGAGCCTAGGCTGGGCAAGGCTGTGGCAAGACGCAGACAGGTCGGAAGGTGGGTAGGCATGACCTGCCACTCTGAGAGCAGACAGAGGGTGGAAAGGGGAGGCAGGATGGCAAAGACCTGTGGAGTTCCATCACTGGACAGAACTTCTTTCTGTCACTAAGCTTGGACATCTGTCCCTGGTGTCCCTTCTGCCTCCTCTGAGGGTAGACAGACCAGTGACTCAGCAGGCCTCTCACTGCAGCCTCCCACAGGCCCTCACTCACCACCAGTGTGAGCATTTTTCCAGCCTCGCTGTCCATCGTCCCTCAACATCCCACTCAGGCAGAAAGTGCCCCTCCACACACACTGGAGAGATGAGAGCAGTGGCCAGCTCTCTCCCTGGGCCTAGGGGTTGTTGCCAAAGCAAGGGCCATGTAGAATTCTACAGGGGAAGGGCAGCATGCTGATGCCCTGGCTCCTGGGTGAGCAGCCCTGGTCTCCACAGCTTTGCACCTCTGCCCTCCAGAGTGGAAGACGACCTCACCTGGTGAGAGCACTGTGTTATGCACCCCGTGCCGGAGGATGCTGCTTTGGTACTGGGGCGGCAGGGTCTGAGCTGGGTTGGATGCCTCAGTGGATAACGCAGTCTTTGTAATGTCTGGGTTACAGAAGAAGCACTCTGGTGAGTGGAACAAGGTCCTCTTCTGGGGACCCCCCAAGGCCTCCCTAGAGACTCAACCTGGATGCATGAAGGCTTGTGAAGCCATTGCAAAAGCTTTGGCCTCACTTGCACCCAGCTAGGCAGAGATGTTCTCGATGACATCCAGGGATTCTAAATATAGCACTCTTTAGGACTATCCAAGATGTGCACCACGTGACAACTTGCCGCCTGGCCCACCCCTGTTTGACCTCTGGCAAGTGGCTCCTCATCCCCACAGCATCATTCTACATCACAGCGCCTGGGTGCCTCTGAACCCCAGAGTCAGGGAAAGAATTTGTGGGGGCTCCATAGCTCTGTTAGGGGGTCCTTTTGAGGGCGGAAAACTGTTCTATACAATTGATATGCCTCCCACCATAGACAAAAGGAGTTCGGTGGCCCTAGTCTCCTGCCACACCTTGGGCGGCTGCCAACACTTGGATGATAGAAAGCTAACCTGCCTCAAAGGCCAGAGCAGCAGCTGAGCTTCATTTGGGGTCTGGATGTACACATGTCCTAGGGTAGGCAAGTGTGTGTTTAGGGGTGCCACTCCACAGAGCATTCCTGCTCAAACTTCTTGTAGGAATCGCTGATGAACTTGGTTCAAAATGCAGATTCTGATTTAGTGAGTCTGGCATCAGCTGGAGAGCCTGCATTTCAACAAGCTCCCAGGTTGACCTGATGTTGTGGGTCCAGGACTACCCTGCATAGCAAGTGCCCAGAGCACCCATCTTGAGTCCATGCTTGCCAGTCACCTGCCTCTTTGATGCCCACTGATGGATTGACATGTCGACATCTCCAGCTTGTCAGCTTGTCAAAACAGCTAAAACTAGCACCTGTTAGCAGGTGGTCATCTTGAGATTCAAGAGGAAAAAGACTTAACAAAGGCTTCCCCATCCTGCCCTTGCCAGAAATGAAGAAACAGCAGGGACTACTTACCGTCAATGAAGTATTTTGAAAAATTATTTTCTCCCCATGTGTAATTTGACTTTCTCACTAAATCGTGGTCCTGTAACATGGTCTGGTAGAGTACTCAATTAAAAGCTTCAAAACACCACATTTTTGTGGCCCTAGTGGCACCAGAGTTTACCTGGCAAGCTGGTGGCACGTGAGGACATAATGTCAGGGAAAGTGCTCAGGGTAGAGGAAGACATTCGAGGCCCAGAAATGCTGAGGAGTGAGAAGTTCTCCATGTCTGACTAGCGTAGGGTATGGCAGGCACACACCTGCTCCCTGGAGCGCCGGCTGGGTCGTCCAGGTGACAAACATTCTGAGCCCAGTTGATGTCACAAGGTCACATGATTCCATTCTCCTGATAGGGGCTACCTCTGGGATGCGTCTCCTGCTAGCAAGGTTGAACTCTTCAAAGATGTGTTAACTTGTCCTTCCTCGGTGTCCCACCTTGATGAGGACACCCAGAGAGAAGGGAGAAATGTGACCCCTTTGCCTTTTAGCATCACTTCTGTGCCATGTTCTCCCCCTCCACCCTTCTCACCTGCCCTTCACCCTCCACCCCAGCTCTGGGAACTCCTGTCCTTGAATGACCTTCTTGCTTTTCTTCTGCTTCATCTGCCTGACTTTTGCCATCTGATATTTTTGCCATTTTGCTTTTTTTGGTTTGGGTATATATATATTTTTTTTGAAATAATTTCAAACTTATAGAAAGTAAAAATATGACCATCCATACAAAGAACATCCATAGATCCTATATCCACATTTTCCCGTTAGCATTTTACCCCGTTTGTTGTACCAATTCCCTTTCTCTGTCTCTCTCTTTCTGGGTGTACAGATATTTTTTGTAACTACTCAAAGGTAAGTTACAAACACAGTGTCCCTTTTGCCTAAATACTTCAATGCGTACTTCCTAAGAATAGGAACCAGATATTGTTTTAAATGACTGCTCCTTTTTATTTTTAGCAAATGACTAAAGCCCAGTGGGTGGCTTACTTAGTACCGTATTGCTCATTACAGGCCTGCTTTGCTGGTGAGACAGTGGACGCCAGAGTGGCAAGGTTGCCCCTTCTCTTTGCATCACAATTGTTGTATAACACCCTAGCTCATTGGCGAGGCATGGAGGGGGGGATTTATTTGCTCGTGCTAATTTTAAAATTAAGCCAAGGTACCCCATTCTAGGTAATCATGCGAGCTTCAACTTGATGCATCCAGTGCATTAGAGTTAAACGTGAGTGTGGGTCTGCTGCAGGACGCTCAGCCCAGCCATATGTGACAGCACCTCTCAAGGTGTGTGAAGCCAGCACGTGTGTGTGAGCTTCTGCTCATGTGAGTCAGGATTGGCTTCCTGTTTGGATTGACTCACAGTGTTTAATGTTTGCAGGACAGTATGGAGAACACAGCTTCCTTGGGTGCCTTCCTTGTAGTCTGTTCTGGAACATCAGAATGCGGCGAAATAGAAATTAATGCCATATATGTACGTTGGCAATGTTGAGGGTGTTGGCAATTCCATCTGGCATTGGTGCAGAGAACGATGGTGGGTCAGCCTGTGTGAGTTCCAGTCCCCACTTGCCACTAGCTCCCCCTGTGGGTTGGGCAAACCCCTCTGCTCCTGGATTTGTGTTAATTTGGACAGTTGGGTGGCTGAGCATCTGCCTGGTCCCAGTCTAGTGATTGGCCCCTGAAAAGGAGACTGCATAGTAGTGAGTGATGCACGGAAGATGCGGAGGACTTACAATTCCATCCTTCCTGGAACTTCGGATGTACTAACTGTAAAGGGGCTCAAAACATCAGGGAGACATGGGAAGCTGCAGCAGTGCCCATTTGCAGAGTTCTCCGATTTTGTTTTGATGATTGAAAAGTTCACTGGAACCTGGTCACCCCGGTTGGTGACACTCCAGCCTCTGCAGTACATGCTGGAGCCTCTTGGCATTTTGGTGCTGGTGGCCTGGCAGGAGGCGGCAGTCCCCGGGTGGTCAGTCACTACGTAAAATGTGTCTCTCTCTTGTTTATTTCCCACCTGCTTTCCGAGCCTCTTTCTCGGACAGGTAAGACACCATCTTTCGTATGGATGACTTGCTCCCCAAGTGCTCCTCTTTGCTTGGATGTGCATGTTGGGGTGCTGGGGGAGGGGACCCAGCTGGGATCCAGTCACCTCTCTCTTTACCATCACCATTCTTTATTGCACCACCAACCCTCCAGTCCTGAGCAAGGGAGGAACGAGCTTGGAGTCACTAGTGCCTTCTACATGCAAGGGGCTCATTGTACATGCCTGGGCCTGCAGGTGATGGACAGCCCAGCCAGAGCCCCACTTTGGAGACAAGGACAATTGCTCTAGGCTTGACCCTAAAAGCCCCTGCAGAGGCCACTCCAGGCAGGGATGGGGGTGGGGGTTGGGTGGACTTTGCAAATGGAAAAAGCTTTGGGGATGGTTTCCCTATGATGTCAGCTCACTGTGCACTTTTTAAATATTTATATAAAATGTCGATTCAGTTCAACTAGCATGTCCAATGTAAGGTCTTATGCTAGCGTGGGGGAAGATAAAAAGCACTTCAGAGGCTGCATTATCCAGAGGAGCTTAACATGTTATTATAGAGAATGAGAGGTGTTAACCAGTAAGACCTAGAGAATTTTAGGGAGAGAGAGTATGATGGGCTCTCTGTAAATTACTTAAAATCAGTGTATACATTTTGAAGACAGAGAACAAGAAATACAAGAATTCCAAAATAGTGCATAATCCAAGTTATTTAGGTTTATTAGAATGTGTCTTCTAAATAACAGTAAAAAAGACACAGTTTATGAGTTACTTTGATAGGTGATTTTGTACTTACAATTTTAGAAATGAATATGTATGCTCTGAAATTTCATTTAAAACTAGAGGGATATCACCATAGAAATCACGAGCCAGGAAGCTAGGGGGAATTTGCCTTCTCCAGTGTCTCTCAACATTTTTTTTGGTTCCAGGGTGGTCCCCAACTTCCTGATTTGGGGGAGAATAGTTAAATGCTTTAATTTCCAAGGACTTCTCTGTTAATTTGCAGATTTCATGGGTAAAGAAAAATTTAAAAGATGTGGGACACAATAGGCAAATTACGGAAAAATGGCCAGCATGGGTGGATTCCACAGGAACAGAGCCAGGAGTTGCTAACCCTGCTGTGGGTGGGCTGGCAATGCCTGCCATGGGTGGGTGTGCATCTGGGACCCAGCCAGCCTGAGCCAGTCAGCTGTGTGGTCTGGACCTGGGGTGCTCTAAGCGACTTCCCTGGTGTGTCCCCTGCAGTGGGGTTTTCCCTGAGTATGGGTTAGGGGCAGTTCCAGAGGTGACTGTGGAATTATCCACAGAGGGAGATCCTCCACCTGTCCCCTCTCCTACTGCCTGACCAAAGACCCTTAGAATATGGCTTATTTAGGTAGGTGGCTCAGAAGGGAAACCAGAGAAGGCCTCCCCCTGACCCAGGACTCAGCACTACAGGCAGCGTATCCCAGTTTGTTACTCTTAGGAAAAGTCAGTGAGAATAAGCATTTAGTAGAGGTGTTGACAGAGAGAGAGGCCCAGTGGTCAGATGTAACCTCCCCTGCTCCCAGATTAACAAAATATCTGGAGTAGTTGGTAAGGAAAGAACCTCAGGCCCATTTTCAAGGCCAAAGTGGGTCTGGGTATCTGGAGGACTAAACTGGATTTCCAGGTGAGCAGAGGAGGCCCGAGAGAGAAAGTATATGTGGACAGCAAGGCTTAGAGCTCCAGCCGTGCCAACAACAAACTTTGGAGCTAAGACTTGTCCTCCACAATTCTACCTCTACAAAATGGCTTTGGCAAGTCAAGATACTTCTTGAGTATCTACTGTGTACCACACCCTGTCTTGCTGTTGCAGATACAAAGATGAGTTAAACATCATCTCTGCCCTGTAAATATTCACAACTCAATGGGTCTCTGCCTAGCCTTTTAAGTTAATCATTTGAGCTAGAGAAAGATCCCAGGGAGAAGGACCATCTAGGCCTACTTGGGCAGCTGTTCCATGATCCAAGGCAGGGCACAGTAGAGAAAAGGACCCTGGACTTTGGGTGAGAAAACCTGAGCTCAAATTCTTGCCTGCACAGCAATTAGTACTGTAGCTTGGGTTGGCAGTTCATTTGTCTGACCCTTCTTCCTCATCTTCAAATAGAAATCCTCCCATGCCCACTTCACTGGGTGACCACAAGGATTCAGGGAGCTGGGTGTTGCTCTCTGACTGCCCCATTGGCACTGAGTCCTTGTCCCTTTGGTTGCGAGCTGGCTCTGAACCCCCATTTAGCATCTGCATGCAGCTGGCCTAATCTCCCAGCATGGTCCATTCTTCATGAGGAAAATGCATTGCACATGGTGTTTCAGGGGTTGGGGGGAGTGGCTTCTAGCTTCTAGCTCCTGGCCTCATATTTGCCATCCCTCCACCAACATCTGCCCTAGTGCCCCAGTCAGAGCACCACGTGTGCGCCCAGCAGTGCACGGCCATATATTTCATTGCTTCATCCTCATTTTCCCTTCCTTTATTGCAAAATGTCTGGTGAATCTCCAAGATAAGGGGTCAGACCATGAGTTAAGGAGGCCAGTTTAAAGGGATGTGTTACCTTTTTTTGGCTAGAGTTTTCACCCATTAACTTGAGCTGGCAGAACTAGAACTCTTGGTCTCTCCTCCTTCAAGAGAACTGGATTGGAGGGTTGAAGTGTTTTGTTGAATATTCCTGGAAGCCAATGCAGGCAGAGTAACATGGGCACAGCCCCACTCCTCTCTACTCACCCTTTCTCTCTCCCTCTGTGTTCACAGTTGACCATAGTATGTTCGAGAATTTGAACACAGCTCTCACTCCCAAGCTCCAGTCCAGCCGCTCTGTTCCCCACCTGTCCAGGCCTACAGCCCCCAGCTCCACCACCCTGGGACCCATGGGGCCTGGTGGAACGGGGCTCTGGGTCGGCAGTGGCCAGCACCTCAGGAACCTGAGCAAAGCCATGGGGGCCAAAGTAAACGACTTACTACGCAGAAAGGAACCCTGGAGCCTGGGAGGCGTGAGTGTGATGGAGATCAACAGGACTGCCAGGGCCCAGCTGGCCAGTGGGGCTGACCTGGAGGACGAAAGGTAAGTGCCCTCCCCACCCACCACCCACTTGAAAGGCCCATGGACTGGTCATGGTGTCCCCAGAGGGGCATACCCCTGGGGAACACGATGTCAAGTGAAGAATAGCTGAAGGGTTGGGTGATGTTCATGGTGCCCATTGCCTCCTGGTGGGTGTGTCATGCCCAGCGGCTCCCCTATCCTAGAACAGCATGGCGGGGCAGGTTACATTATTTCCACTTGCCGATAACTCAGGTTCAGGGGTATCGGAGTGGCTTCAGGTCGCAAGATCAGGAGTTGGCACAGCTGGTGCCAGGTGCTGCCCCCCAGGTGGATTCTGACCCCCAGCCCCACTTGGCACCTGCTGCCTTGACTCTTGCTGAGAAAACAGGTAGCCAGAAGCCGCTGGGTCAGGGGAGGAGGGTGGTCCTCCCTCTCTTCCCTCTTGTACCAGTGGGCCCTCTCCAGGCCTATTTGAACACTGCCCCTGGGTTCACGTGTCACATTGCTCAGTGTTGGTCCCAGTGTTGTTGCTTGTGCTGCTTGGTGACAGGGCAAAGCTGATGGTTGTGCTCAAGCTGCTCAGATCACATAAATGAGACCCCTGAGGGTAGTGCACTCCCTGGGCAGGGGAGAGTGAGGCAGAGAGTGCTGTGTAGCTCTTTCTGGAAATCTTGTGTGTCCACCCAACAGGTTGGCACTGCAAGAGGTGTTCCCTCGGCTGGATCCTCCACCTCCCATCACCAGGAAGCGGACTCCGCGGGCCCTGAAGACCACACAGGATATGCTGATTTCCTCGCAGCCTGTCCTGAGCAGTCTGGAGTATGGGACAGAGCTGTCACCTGGGCAGCCCCAGGACTCCCCTCCTGCCAAGTCCATCCTAGATGATGCATCACTGCCAGAGGCCACCCCAGAAGAGGTGGATAGGGGCGAGGCTGTGCCCAATGGAGATGTTGCCCTGTCAGTTCCTGACCTTATCCACAAGGACAGCCAGGATGAACCCAAGGTCAAGATGACAGAGTGCAGAAGGGCCTCCTCTCCTGGCCTCATGGAGAGAAATGGCCTCAAACTCAGCCCCATCAGCCTGACTGAGTCGCTAGAGGACAGCATCCCCCCTTCTCAGGCACGGACCTCCAGCCTTGACAATGAGGGTCCTCACCCAGACCTGCTATCCTTTGAGTAGAGCCTCATCTTGCCCAGCGCACCCCTTCCCTCAGTTTCTCTTCTGCCGTGTGCCGCAGCCTCGCCCTAGCTATGTCCTCCTTGCACGAGGCACCAGAGGAGCACCAGTTCTCCTGTGCAAGGCCAGACATCCATGGCCTAAGGAGCGATATCCTAGCTAAGGCGTGTCTGCAGAGTGGCAGACACTGGGTTCTGTCCCTGGTTCTCGAGTCCATTGGCTCCTCCAGGTGCTGGAGCCCCTCTGCTCCCTGGTCATCTTGGCTTCTACTGAATTTCCAGGTCACCGGCCAGGCGTGATAGGTTCTGTGAGGATCCCCTTCACCCATGTCCTCACATGCCTGCCCCTGCTCTGGAGTCCATGCTTGATTCCTGCCATCTCCCTCAAGACCCAGCCCCCTGCCTTGGGGGTCTCAGGCTGAATGAGGCATGAAGGGTTCGGCTTGATGATGGGCGCAGACCCAGAAAGCTGCACACCTGAGCGCAGCCCAGCCATGCTCCTCCCGATTCAAGGCAGCACAGGTCCTGGCTGTCACTGTGCTCTTGCCCCCATGGGAATGACCAGAAAAGATGCTTGCAGGCCCAAGATGTTGAGGCTGCCTGCTTGTCCAGGATTCTTGGGGTGTTTCCCATCTTATCAGATGGAGAAACATGGTGCCTTGGAGTGGGCACAAAACCAGCCACTGGGCAGCTGTGAGGAGCTGCCGGGTGCTGGGGAAGAGGATGCCAAGGCTCCTGTGCTGGGTCTCCAGGACCCAGCAGACGCAGCAGAGCACGTTCTGATCACTTTGGGGGAGAGCTTTGAAAGTGGGGTGGTTTTGGCATTGGTGCGGGTCCCAAGGGAGTGCAGAGCAGACAGAGTAGAGAAGGCAGTGAATTCAGAACAGGGAAGGGGCTGTCACTGGGGATCAGAGCAGCTGTCCAGGGGTCACCCCACACCCTGAAGGATGCAGCTCTAGGATCCAAGCAGGGTGAGTGTGGGAGCTGGAGTGAAGACAGGGATTTGAGTTCCCCGAAGGTACCTCTGAGTTGCCTGTCCCTCACCCTCATGCCACTGTTCCCGCTCTGGCTTTGGGGTCTCTGGAAGGGCTGGCTCTACCTGGCCTTGCCTCCAGGTTTAACCCACTTTTGTGTTCCTGTCTGCCAGCAGAGGCCCTGCAGTGTTGTCTTCCTGTGGCCAAGAGATCCTGTCAGGTGGGGAAGCCAACCTGGGGGCCTTTGAAGCAAGAAGGGAACAGTCTCTGTCTTGAACAGGGTGGCCAGGTCCCTGGGAGAAGGCTGGCAGAGGCCCATCCAGCCTGGGCAGGCCCTTCTGATTCCTGCTGCCTCCCCTTTTCTGTCCACTGTTCAGCTGCTCACCCATGAGCTCTGGGGCACCCAGAACTCACTTCCACCTCACCTCATCACCCTGGTCTCCTCCCCTACCACCTCTCCTGCCAAGATCCCCTCCCACCTCTGCTATAAGCCTGGATCCTCAGGGGATCCCGATCCTACCACCTCTACTAACAGCTATAGACCTGGTGGTGGGGAATACCAGGGTGTACTTTCTTGCTTCTGCAGCCATGCCCTCCACATTTCTTCTCTCCTGTCTTCGTCATCCTTAAAGCAAGGCCCACGGTGAACCTTGCCTACCTTCCCTATGAAGGCCCATGCTGGGAGGGGCCTGGTTTCATGGGAGCTTCCTTGCCAGAAGCTCGGTTTGCTTCTCTGATGGGGAATTTTGGGAGCAGTGCACCTGGTGGCGCTATAACCAGAGAAACGGGTGTTGCAGGCTTGGGCTGTTTTAAGCACCCTGCTCTCCACTCCACACCCAGCCCCCGTTTAAGTCCTGGCTCCAGACCTAGGAGCAGCAAAGGGACCCTACCACGTCTCCACAGGGTGGTCATCAGCATGACCCCCAGACTTCCTCAGACCATGTCTGATAGTGAATGAGAGGCCACAGGCCCCCACTCCCGTCCTGGCTATCGCTCTGTGATCTCCACCTCACCACCCTGCAGCAGGGGTGGGCTGCTACCTCGGTGGGCTCTTTGAGGCTGAAATATGGACCCAGATGCTGCAGATGTTGCCTGGTGCTAGGGCCAAAGTGCCATCCAAACAAGGACAAGGACTTCTAATCCTGCTGAGGACCTCAGCTTAGACCTCCTCTCTGTTGATACAGGACACATCTTTCTGTTCACCTTAGCAGCCTGACCTTCCTGTGATTGCAGCACACCCCAACCCCCAACTCCCAACACACACACACACACACACACACACACACACGGCCTGTGTAGTGGCCCAGATTCTATGGAAGCTCAGCTTTGGGGTGACCCAGTCCTTGTAAGGACTTGTCTAAGTTGGGGCCTCAATCACCCCCATCCCAGCTACGCCCCAACCCCACTGTGTCTCTACATCAAGCAAACACTTTATCCTGGTAGATCACAGGTGAGCTTCCAGAACCTGGCTGGAGGAGTGTGTCTGTGTTACAGTTGTGGGTGATACAAAGACAGATATGTATAATCCACCAACTCGTAAAGAACAAAGCTATTAGCCCCAGTTCAGGGGAGGAAGAAGATACAGATCTGAGTATTTTCTAGAGATTTTTATATTTATATTTTTAGTAATATTCTGGTAGAAGAAAACCACGCAATAAAATAATTGGTTTGGTTTTGCTGGTCAGTGTGTTTTCTCCTCACCAATGGGGGGTAGTTGTTTTTCTCGAGACTGACTTGCCAGGCAAGGAGCCCTGGTATCTCACTTTGTGAGCCTGGCAGAGTGAGAAATGGGGAGAGCAAAATGTGAACATGATGACACTGCCAATAGATCCGCAACCTGAGATGCTTGGGAGGTGATGGCCCTTCAGGATTTGGGTTTGTCATCAGACCCTCTGTGTTCTGGCTGGCTGCTGTGTGAGCCCCTCTTCCAGTCTGACTTCGGCTGTTTGAGGAACATCATCAATGTGATGTCAGCAGGTAAGTCTCTCCTCAGGAGGGAGCAAGAGGACATGGCAGGTGACTGACCACTTACTAGTTAAGCAATGAATTTTTTAACCATTGGAAATTCTCATTTTCAATTATGTTTATGGAGATAATATTTTACAGCACTGTATGTTTTGGGGTACAGATTTACACCTCTACAAATGTGTATTACATTGTGCCCACCACCAAGGCTCCAATAATGCTCTGCCATAGTCCATTGGGCCCCTCCTCCATTTGCTGAGAAGCCTTAGTTCTGTAGTCAGGTTTAAAGGGTTTGTTTTTTTCTGTTTTTGTCTGCCCCTTTGATTTTCATATTCCACATTTGAGTGAAATCTGGTGTTTTTCTTTTTCCCACTGATTTAATTTGCTTAGCATAATCTCCTGTTCCAATCATGTTATTGCAAATGGCAACATTTCATCTTTTTTGACAGCTGAGTAATATTCCACTGTGTATATACCACTTTATCCATTGGCCTCCAGGTTTTCAAATTTTCTCCTTTGATTTCTCCTTTAACCCAATTCAGTAGCAAGTTATTCAGTCTCCACATATTTGAGGTTCTTTCCTGCCTTGTTTTTGTGGTTGATTTATACTTTGATACTGCTAGGATCAGAGAAAACTACATGATTTCAATTGTGACCCAACATGTGACCAACCCTCGAGAATGTTCCATGCACACCTGGGAAGAATGTGTACTGAGCTTTTTGGGGAGTGGAGTGCCCTATAAATGTCTAGTAAGCCCATCTGCTCTAATTTTTCATTTAAGGTTGTTGCATTGTTGATTGATGTGTACACTGGTGTAAGTCCTCTGCTGCTACTGTGCTGTTGTCAATATCTGTTTTTAGGTTAATGGTTGCTGTACATATTTTGATACTGCTACATTTGGTGCCTATATATTGATGAGTGCTATGTCTTCCTGATATAATTCAGGCAATGACTCAACCTGGGGTCCATAGCCCTCTTCCATCAAGGGAGAAATGGAGCTGTGGACACAGGCATTGCTGAGACAGACAAGGGCTACCCTTGGATTCTCAGTCATCAGTAAATGTCAGCGTATGCGCAGAGCTGTTTACTTGGTATTTCCCTAGCAAGTGTGCCCAATGGCCTTTCACAAGCCTTGACACCAGCTTGTTGAGAGAATGGCTTGGAGCAGAGCTGCCTGAAATCTCTGCCTAGTTGCTGCCCGCAGGTCTGTTTCAGACCAGGAGACTGAGAATGGCATGATCCCAGGACCGTCCCTGAGGTTGAGATCCATGGTTTGGCACACAGGGACCTGTGGCTCCATGTCAGAAGTATCTCAGGCATCAGGCTAAGTGTCCAGACTACTTTGCATCTGATTCCTCTCTTGTATTTCACGTAGGAGGGGCAAGATAGAACAGGCTCTGAGGACACTGTGCTCCGTAGCAGACTGCAGCATTATTCTGGGAAAACAGGAATGATGAGAAAACCAAGGAAACATAGTCCACAGATGGGAAAAAGGCATAGAAAATACAAAGGCAATTTCTCTCGCTAAGGGTGGACTCTAGTGAATTCTTTTGGTAACCTCTCCTATTGCATTGATTTAGGATTGGCTTCTGTAGTCATCTAGCTATGAAATGTGCCTCTCCCACTATTATGCATAGGAGTTATTTCTGACTGAAATGAAATACAAAAAACTAAAAAAAATTCTTTGAGAAAGTATAAAAAAAACCAGATGTGTATGCGGCGTATTCTGGGCTTCTGGGCCCACAGCTGAGCCTTTGATCTAGAAACTGGGGTATAAATACAATGTCCAACCCCTGCCATAATTTGAGTGTATCTGGGGCACCGTGGTGGTAAAGGGATAGCTCATTCTTTCTCGCCTGGCTGAAAATAGGCAAGATGCGCGCTGCCTGCCCTCCCACGACCATCTTACCAGGCTGTATTAACAGGTCATGAAACAGAGTAGAAACAATAAAGCCAGGAAATTCAACTGAGAGTGTCTATCTGCGGCCATCCTAGCCTGAGTGCTCGGGGCTTGCCTGATCTCAGGAGTTAAGCAGGGCGGGGCCTCATTAGTACTTGGCTGTGCTCGGGTGCTCTGAGCTTATCAGCCTGAGTGGTTCCTTGAGGAGGGTAACAATCACAGGCAGTCAGGCTACCCCTTCTTTCCTCAAGACTGCACATCTGCTGGTAGCAAACCCCAGTTAGTATTTGGAATTTGCAATTAGTTAATCCGGGATGGCTGGATTAGGTGCTACCCTAAACTCAGAGGATTCCTTCTAGGGCAGTTTCTTCTGCTTTCACATTTAGGAATCCCTTTGAAGTCACTGAATACTGGGACAGTTGTACAACCCTCTGTTCTCTGACTCCCTGTCCTCTCCACTCCCAACCCAGCAGCTGCTGCTGGTAGTAATTCAGCGATGGCTGCTCTTTGAGATATTGTCCTGTGGGTCCCCAGGTTTCCCTCACCAGGGTGCCTGCTGGGTTTGGTGTGTCCTATCTGGAGCCCCCAGTGTAGCTCCCTCATGAGTGGGAGCAAGTGATTAAGGATATACAAAAAAAAAAAGAGAGGAAAAAAAAATACAGCCCTCATCAGTGGATTCCCACCTCCCCTGCAAATGGCCTTTAATGTCTTTCGTCTCTCCCCAGGAAATCCACTGTGGAAACTTTAAGTTGCCCAGTGAAAGCATCTTCGAGTGCTTTACCCTCCAGGGTGCCCTCCTCCTGCTGTCGTTTGCACTGGGCATGCCATGAAAGCCCAGAGTCCCCACCACCGACTCCCTACTAATGAGAAAATTCCTCTGCTTTTCGTATCCAGGGACCAGCCCTTCTGAGACAAGGTTCTCTTTGTGCCGGGCTTATTTCCAGCTGCTGCCACGATAAATAGTCCAACTCCGAGGAGCCCCGCAGGAAAGTCACTTGGTTATGGACCACACAGACAGGGAAGCAAACTTTAGGAAATATGTACGGAACAACTCTCACTAGGCTACTTCTCTCCTTGGGGGGTGCCCAAGGAATTTCAGTTATAGGGTGGGAAACCCGCCAGTGCTTTTTCTCTTGAAATAACCCAACCCCCCCAAAAAAAAACCCCAAACCACCACCTAACTGCAACTGTTTACTGTTGACTGGGTCAGCATGTCCAGTGCCGTCTGCTCAGCTACCTTAAGCACCTCCACATTGGCTCCCTTACTCCTTCCAGGCTCAGGTGATGAGGTAGTGCCTGTCAGTCTGTCCAACGTTCCAGCACAGTGTTCAGCCTGCTTCACTGACTAATGTGTGGCTGCTTGTAACATGTCTGTGGTCACCATAGCATGTTTGCACTAACTCAGCCACTGTGAGCCAGTAAAGGATCAGCCTGGTCTTTGGATATAGAGAAGTAGCCAAAGGTTCAGCCCTCAGGTGAGTTCCTGTGACATCAGAACCCCATCCTGGATAGACCCCATGGCTGCACAGAAAATCCCAGCACAGATCGGAGCCCCCCAGCAGTCTGTGTATCTGGCCAATTGTGTTTCTGTCAAGCTTCCTTGCTTAATTCAAACCCAGGGTCCTCTGTGTCAAGAACTGTCTGAAAGTCTTTGCAGCATGTCTGGTGAATTCTTGTCACACCTGCTGACATTTTTAGGAGCTGACGTTCTGGAGAGGTGGTGGGGCTCTCTGGGAAGTAATTCTGTGGGTAATAAAACTGCAGGATGAGGCTGTTCTGTGTTGTCCCTGCGTAAGTACCCCCTACATTTCTATTGATCATAGGTTGTGATGAGGCTGGGCAGGGGGGTAGAAGAGGGCTTCTGGAAATTTCTTTTTTTAAAGAAATTTTTATTGTATTTTTTGTGTAGAAGAACTGGGGTGCAGGCCAAAGGTGTGGGGTATGAGAGGACTCACCAGAGACAGAGTGGGAAACAGAACAGGCAGATCTACTGAAATACACTGCTGAGGGGAGCAGTGGGTGAGACAGGGAAAGGTATGTTGAATCATGTGGGTCACCTCCCTGGCCAGAGATGGAACTCAGGCCATCGTGGTGATAGTGCTGAGACTTAACCTCTAGGCCACCAGGAATCCCCTGAGGCGAGGGTCTTCTACAAGAGCTTGAGGGAGGTATGAGATGGGTATTTCCTCTAGATTTTCTAAAACCCAGCCTTGCCCACCTTGCCAGGTGCATCTGCCTCCACTGCCTTTGTTCCAGGTGGTCCACCTGCCGAGGTCACCTCTGTTATCTTTTCTCTTTCCCAGACTTTGCTGGCTGTTAATTCATTCTTCAGTTTCAGCTCAGGATCCCTTCCTGATGCCCTCATCCCTTCTTTTATTCTCTGCAGCATCCTTCTATTTCTCCATCATCGGTGCTCCTCCCATGATTGGCTTTTTCTTATCAGTGTTAAAGCAGAACTTTGGATGAAATGATGTTATTTGAGGGCCTGCCCTATGTACATACACACACACACACACACACACACACACACACACATGCGCTCTCTCTCTCTCTCTCTCTCTCTCTCTCTCTCTCTCACTAAATTGTGTGGAATAGCCTAAAGGGAGCTCTCCATAGACCACCTCCTGCTGCTCCTTCCCCAGGGCTTTCCTTGCAGGCTGTCCCTACCTACAGAGAAGGATTCCGGAGGCCATTTCCAGAGTGGAAGATGGCTAATGGGCGAACATGAAACTCATTTATCTCCATCTAGAGCCTCAATTAGTTCTGCTCCCTGGATAAGTGCCACTTGCCACATGGCTG